TCTGCATTGCGTTTTGTGTTTCATTTTGCCTTTTTTCACCTGCATTTGTGACGCTTTTTTAATGCTTTTTGCCTTTTTTTTTTATTCAATTTTTCTTGTGGCTAGGCAGATTTAAAACGCACTACATGCTTTTCTGCAGTGTATCCATTGAAGTCTATAGAACCAAAAAATCAACTTTTTACATTAAAAAAAAAGTCCCTGACCCTTTCCAAAAAACGCACCGGATGAAAACGCAGAGATGTAAACCTGTCCCATAAGAAATCATGTTAAATGGACTGTACTGCGTTTCTGCAAAACGCTGCGGAAAATGCTTAGGTGTGAACCTAGGGTAAGGTAGGTTCCTATGGGACATGTTCTATGCTTTTTCGAGCTGTTGTGTTTTCGGAAAGGGTCACAGACTTTTTTAAATGCAAACTGGTGCGTTTTTGGTTCAATAGACTTCAATGGAGACGCTGCAAAAAAGCGTGTAGTTGGCAAATTTAAAACAAATGCATCAAAAATACAGCAACAAATTGGCCAAAAAAAAAAATGCAAAACACACAGTGGCTAAATGGTTAGCACTTCCGCCTGGCAATACTAGGGTCGTTGGTTCGAATCCCAACCACGGCACCACCTGCCTGGAGTTTGCATGTTCTCCCTGTGCCTGCGTGGGTTTCCTCTGGGTACTCCAGTTTCCTCCCACACTCCAAAGATGCTGGTAGGTTAATTGGCTCCTGTCTAAATTGGCCCTAATATGTGTATGTATGAATGTGCGTTAGGGACCTTAGATTGTACGCTCCTTGAGGGTTAGGGACTGATGTGAATGTACAATATATATGTAAAGCGCTGCGTAAATTGACTGCACTATATAAGTACCTGAAATAAAACGCATCAAGAGTGTGAAAACACATATTTATGCGATCAATTAAACAGATCAAAAGCAAACTGCAGAGGTGTGAACCAAGCCTTGCATGTTACCACTTAGATTTTTTTAGGTTCCTGATAATCCTATTAATCCTAACTCTTTACATATTTCAATATGTAAAGAGTTAGGATTTTTTTTTTTTTGTAAAGGAAAGCAATTCCTGCAGGACATGTACCTATCCATATTGTAGCTACATTGTATAGGAGGGGCTGTGTACCCTTCTCTACATTCACATATGAGCCAGTGAGTAAGTAGGCCATTGAACGGGGAGGGGATTTGTCCTCCCGAGGATGCTGCGTCTGTGTCGGATCGGTAGTTAGGAATTCTGACAGTAAGTACAATATTATGTCTTCTGGTAGACTGCCCTCCCCTGTCCTCAACACGTACACTGCAATCCGCTCTTCTGTAGGGGGATGGGAGCAGAGCAATGCTTGTATGTGCTGTGTTCAGACCTGTGAATGAATGGCTGGCTGTCATAGCCAGTGCAGGTTATGCGGCCTTTGATTCATCTCCCTTTCATGGCCATGAATGATCCAGGGAGAGCTCCAATCATACCTGGGCGAGGAGAGTCAGTGAAGCGTACAGGATTCAGTGGCAGCATTGTATGGATATGATTCCCTTCTGCTTTTATGGTAAGGCATCCCTATGTGTTTATCTTTGCTGTTGTCTACAGGTTTGCAGTACAGATCATTTCTGCGCTCCAGCAAGACGCGGGCTTTTGTTAGGGGTCTTTTTTTTTTTTTTTTTTCTCTTTCCTAGGCCGATGCTTTGATTTACAGTGCAGTAATGATTGAGCTTTCAGCAGAAAATAACGTTTTGACGTGGTTTGTGGCCTTATCTGTTTTGTATGGGGGCTTTTTATACACCCATTCTTCACATCCTTAGGGGCTCTTCCAAGGCCTCGTTTGTTTGCCAGCAGCAAGCAGACGACTTTATCTTCCCGCTGCAATGTGAGATCTTAAATGGAAGAATTTGTTTGCTACGAGCAGCAGACACCACGACACTCGCACACGCAGCTCTACAGGCCTCATTAAAATTATAAGCGTGTGCCGCCCATATAGCAACTGTCCGCCTCCTGCTTCTAGGAATCAGACACTGCACGGGACAGCAAAAGGCTCAATCTTATTGGACGTGAGAGGAAGCAAGTGCTTACCACCTTTAAGACGCTTAGTAGTGTGCAGGTGGATGCACTTTGGTCTTACAGTACTGATTAGAACATGCAGGTTATTTGTTCGGCGTTGGCTGCTGATAACATTTTTGACAGTTTATTATTTACTGTCATTTCAGATTTTCAAACTGTTTGATAAGAACTTCTTTTTCATGCAGGAAAAGTTAATATGTAACAAAAGTACATGGTAATGCGTAGTTATACAAAAACTCTGAAAGAGATTGTAAAGCTCCCATTATTTATATATATTTTTTTTATTAAAATAACAAACATGTCATATTTACTTGTTCTGTGTAATTATTTTGCACAGTGCAGCCCTGCTCCTCCTCCTTGTAAGGTCCCCGGTCAGCACTTTGGTGATTACCCCCTCCCAGCAAGCCACTTTCTATGGGGGCATTCGCACTGATTCACATACGAGCCACGCTGCCTGTATCTGTAGACACCGATAGAGGAGCTCAGCCTCGCCTCCACTCCCTCATCATAGGATTTGATTGACATATCAATCTGCCCAGTGAGGAGGGGGGGAGAGCCGCTGCTCTCATGCTTAGCACTGGATCGATTTGGGCTCGGTTAAGTATAAGGAGGAATCCTCTGCAACAGGTTTTTTTTCTTTACCTTAACCCCTTCACGCCGATGTAACTCAAATATGCGGCCTCACAGAACCGGGCTTTTTTCCGTGGGGACACATATTTACGTATATGTCTCTCTGCTGGGAGAGTGCCGCACAGCGCACTCCCAGCACAAAGACCGCGGTGTCACTGAGAGCCCCGGGTACCATTCTAACGATCGGGACACATGATCGGTCACATGATCGCTGTGATAGCCTCTGATTGGCTATCGCAGTGATCACTCACTGTACAGCCCGGCACCCTTGTGTTTTTTTTTCTTTTCTTTCTATGAATGGAAGAGAGAGATACATTGTATCTCTCTAACTCCTGGCATAGAGGGGAAAAAAAATTGTAAAAAATAAATATTAATAACAGAAAAAATTAAAAAAAAAAACCCACCTAGATCAAGGTTTGATCTAGTTCAGTGCCAGGGTAAGTGTTTGGGTCAAGGTCAAAAGGTCAGGGTCAAAGGTCAGGATTTAAAAGAAAAAAAAAAATTGGTGTCAGTGTGTTTTAGGTAAAAAAAAAAAACCCAAAATGTGCACTATTGTTTCTGGGCTGTACTGTGGGTACAAACAACAAATAACATACACATATTTGGTATCGCTACGATTGCCGAGCTGGAAATTTTATTATGGTTTGTTCTTTGGTGGTAGGTTATGGTAGTAACAAGCACACAGCTAAATTTAAAAATTTTTTTTTTTTTTTTTTACTATTTTGGGCCAGTTTTCCTTTGATAATAAAACAAAAATCAAGAGATATCTATTATCATTTACCACCAAATGAAAGCCCAATTTGTCCTGAAAAAAAACAAGGTACAATTCACCAGGATGTACAAAGTAGCTGTGATGATATGTAAGACTCTACTAACACACGTCAACATTGCAAATTTGTGCTTAGACATTTAGATTTGTTTTACCCTTAGGCGTGAAGGGGTTAATGCATAGAACACATCAAGGTAGACAATTTGAAGCCACTTTAAAGTAGATGTATATCCTAACTGAATGACATTTATTTGGCTAAAGCACTGTGCATGCTTACCAATTGCCATGGGTTTTTTTTTCTACTTTTTTTGCAACTCTGTTCTGCTGATCACCTGCAGCCTCTTTGCTGCCACCACTTCTTGTTTACATGTATGCACTCCAGTGACTGTTCAGGGTCGGTTTCCTGATTTTGACAATTAGGGACCATTCCTGTTCATTGAGCTGTACTGTGCCTAGTAAAAGTAATTTAAAAAAGAAGTGTGGGATTGTTTTTTTTTTAAATTATACTTACCTAGGTGGATGCAGCATTGGTCCCCTGCCAGCTCTAAGGGTGAGAACGCGATTACATGACTACTGATCACTGAGTTCTCACATCCACTCTGAGCAGAGAGTGGGACTGTCAGTCACCGCTGTCTGCTCTGTCCCTGCAATTCTCACTGGAGCGCTGGGCTGTGGAGGGGGAGGAAGCGGCTGGTTCTCAACAGATCGCTGAAAGGCTGAGCCAGCTGCCGCTCCAGACTTTGGGGTGGATCCCGACTTTACAGTTGGGATCTTTCCCCATCCTGGACCAGCTGAGTGACGTCAGCTGTAAACGGTTCACAGAATAAACTGTACTCCTTTGATCCAGAGGAGAAGTTCAGCCAAAAGAGCTTTGGCTGTACTTCTCCTTTTTCAGATTTGTAACTACCAAAAGGCAAAAGGGTACCACATCCCAACTTATGAATATGCAAAACGGTAATCCCCCAAAAGAGGGTGTATAAAGTAACAAGACTTTACTATCCTGTTGCTTTAGATTCTCTCTTTTGGGGGATTACCTTTTTGCAATTGCCTGGTAAAGGTGTTGAAGGACGAATGGTGGCATTGTGCACAATGTAGTCATCCCCTTGTTTCATTTAAAGCCCACCTTTGGTCTCGGGTTCTCCCCCAAAGAGAAAAAAACATCGGGTAAGGGTGCTCCTCTTTCAGTGAAGGGGAGATTCTAAAAGCTGCGGAGACTGGGGCTGTGTAACAATGCGTAAGTCCAGAGCAGTGGTGGGAAAGGGGGTGTACCCCTGATACCCTGTTTTCACAGGAAGTGGATGAAATAGCCCTGGGCAGCATTCAGACTGGAAAAGAAGTGGAGATGGTTCACTAAGCCCAGTCAGCCCGAGGCCAGGGGGGGCAGCACACTAGCAATAGGGCAAATGCAACAGTTTTTTTGTTTTGTTTTTTGTTTTGTTTTTTTTTTTCTCTGAAGTTTTACTTGAAATGTTACTGCATTACTAGTATGACTGTATACAGAAGTATCCCGGCTTGTAATGTGCTTTAATTTCCTCTAATTTTCTTTCCTGCACAGTGTGAAGAAGTTGAAGGAAACACTGGTAATCATCCAGCAGCTGGACAAAAACATGAGTAATCTGCGCACTTGGCTGGCTCGCATTGAATCTGAATTATCCAAACCTGTGATTTACAGCATCTGCGATGACCAAGAGATAAACAAGAAACTGGAGGAACAAAAGGCAAGTGCTTTTTTCTTTAAAGAAAAAAAAAAAAAAAGTTTGGGGGTGGGGTGGGGGCAGTGGCGGTGGTGAGGATTCTGATGTACAGAACACAAATAAACAAGGGCAGGGCTACTCAGAACAACCTATAGCCAATTACAGTACTAAAGATAACCTGCCAAGGTAGACTCAAATGTTCAGCTATTTTAGCTAATCAGACTTAAATGTTCAGCTAATCTAGCTAATGAGAACAAGAACACATTCAGAAGACAAAGGATCTAATGGCTACAATGTTTCTTTCTTCCAGGACTTGCAAAAGGACATTGAGCTGCACAGCGCTGGGGTGGCTTCCGTGTTAAATATCTGTGAGCGTCTGTTGCATGATACAGATGCTTGTGCCAATGAAACCGAGTGTGACTCCATACAGCAGACCACGCGGAGTCTGGATAAAAACGATGGAGAAACATCTGTACAATGTCTATGGAGAGACGCCTCCGGTAAGCGTTGGTTACCATTTTTTTGTGTGACTTTTTCATGCAAATGTAGGCAAAAAGAGACATCCAACAGTTGTATGATATTCCATGCAGGAAGCTACAGTCAGGTCCGTAAATATTGGGACATCGACACAATTCTAACATTTTTGGCTCTATACACCACCACAATGGATTTGTAATGAAACGAACAAGATGTGCTTTAACTGCAGACTGTCAGCTTTAATTTGAGGGTATTTACATCCAAATCAGGTGAACGGTGTAGGAATTACAACAGTTTGCATATGTGCCTCCCACTTGTTAAGGGACCAAAAGTAATGGAACAATTGGCTTCTCAGCTGTTCCATGGCCAGGTGTGTGTTATTCCCTCATTATCCCAATTACAATGAGCAGATAAAAGATCCAGAGTTCATTTCAAGTGTGCTATTTGCATTTGGAATCTGTTGCTGTCAACTCTCAAGATGAGATCCAAAGAGCTGTCACTATCAGTGAAGCAAGCCATCATTAGGCTGAAAAAACAAAACAAACCCATCAGAGAGATAGCAAAAACATTAGGCGTGGCCAAAACAACTGTTTGGAACATTCTTAAAAAGAAGGAATGCATCGGTGAGCTCAGCAACACCAAAAGACCCGGAAGACCACGGAAAACAACTGTGGTGGATGACCAAAGAGTTCTTTCCCTGGTGAAGAAAACACCCTTCACAACAGTTGGCCAGATCAAGAACACTCTCCAGGAGGTAGGTGTATGTGTGTCAAAGTCAACAATCAAGAGAAGACTTCACCAGAGTGAATACAGAGGGTTCACCACAAGATGGAAACCATTGGTGAGCCTCAAAAACAGGAAAGCCAGATTAGAGTTTGCCAAACAACATCTAAAAAAGCCTTCCCAGTTCTGGAACAACATCCTATGGACAGATGAGACCAAGATCAACTTGTACCAGAGTGATGGGAAGAGTATGGAGAAGGAAAGGAACTGCTCATGATCCTAAGCATACCACCTCATCAGTGAAGCATGGGGGTGGTAGTGTCATGGCGTGGGCATGTATAGCTGCCAATGGAACTGGTTCTCTTGTATTTATTGATGATGTGACTGCTGACAAAAGCAGCAGGATGAATTCTGAAGTGTTTCGGGCAATATTATCTGCTCATATTCAGCCAAATGCTTCAGAACTCATTGGACGCCGCTTCACAGTGCAGATGGACAATGACCCAAAGCATACTGCAAAAGCAACCAAAGAGTTTTTTAAGGGAAAGAAGTGGAATGTTATGCAATGGTTAAGTCATTCACCTGACATGAATCCAATTGAGCATGCATTTCACTTGCTGAAGACAAAACTGAAGGGCAAATGCCCCAAGAACAAGCAGGAACTGAAGACAGTTGCAGTAGAGGCCTGGCAGAGCATCACCAGGGATGAAACCCAGCATCTGGTGATGTCTATGCATTCCAGACTTCAGGCTGTAATTGACTGCAAAGGATTTGCAACCAAGTAATAAAAAGTGAAAGTTTGATTTATGATTATTATTCTGTCCCATTACTTTTGGTCCCTTAACAAGTGGGAGGCACATATGCAAACTGTTGTAATTCCTACACCGTTCACCTGATTTGGATGTACGTAAATACCCTCAAATTAAAGCTGACAGTCTGCAGTTAAAGCACATCTTGTTCGATTCATTTCAAATCCATTGAGGTGGTGTATAGAGCCATAAATGTTAGAATTGTGTCGATGTCCCAATATTTATGGACCTGACTGTAGGCGTTTATCCAGACAGATCAAAAAAAAAAAAAAATTGATGCTTCTAAAGTTGTGTGTTGTTTTTGGCAAGCCACATCATTTACCTATATACACACTTTGTGTAGAATTTGCGCTCATATTCCAATCATTGAATCTCCATGTAGCTTTGGACGACCTTAGGCCTCTTTCACATGGGGTGGATTCTGTTCCAATCAGCACAGGATCTCTGTGATCGGAATAGAGTGGTCAGATGCAGAGTGATCGGATGACACTCCCATGTCCACTCAGTTTCTGTAGAGTGGACACTGCTCTATGGGCGGCTTGGAGTAAACAGACTATACCAGACTACCATCCAAGTCACCTAAAAGGAAGAGGATGGATTCCCTTTCCATAAATTTTTTTTTTTTTTTTTGTTGCTATTTTGCGGTCTATATTGGACCCGGAGTTAAGTGGGTGTGAACTGTCACAATTCCCTTTACACCCACCTATCCATAGGAATGCATGGACCTTCCAATCAGGTCTGCCTGAAAAACTGACCGGTGGACGTGATTGGATCACCTGTGAAAATCTTACAGCGGAGTTCCACCCAAAAGTGGAAGCTCTGCTTTTCTGCACCCCCCCCCCCCCCTCTCCGCTGCCACATTTGGCACCTTTTTAGGAGGGAGTGGGTACCTGGGTTTGGCAGGTAGGTACCCGTTCCCACTACTGGCTCAGTTCACAAGGCTTTACTGCTGGTTTTCCCTTAGTCAAGATGGTGACACCTGTACCCCACAGCTGTGTGAAGAATTGGCTCTGGATGGGGATACCACTGGATGCATGCACAGATAGGTGCCCTAATATGAAAAGTTAGCAGCTACAGTATTTGTAATTTTTTGGGGGGGAGGTCGTGGGGACAGAACTCCGCTTTGAACTAAAAGGACCGCAAGTAGAGCAGGTTGGTCCAGCCTTCTGTTTGCCAGGCCAGACTCCAAATCTTACTGGGGAGTTCTAAAGCATTTCCAGGTCAGTTGAATAGTCATTCAGCTAGCTCTTGGGCCCTCTCAAAGGAGCCTTCCATAGAGCTTCTGTAGAAATTTGTCAACTGGCACCTCTAGATTGGAAGGAGCAGTGGGCTCATTGCTGAGATCCTCATGGGCCACACACCTCCTCTTATCACAGAAGCCTGTACTTACCTTGCACTTAGTATGCTCACCTTGTACCTTTTTGTATTTTGTCCAAAAAAACCACAAGTGAGGATAAATATATAGACACAAATAGATAATACGTCTACAATTATCAATAGATCACTAAGAACATCAATAACAAATAAAAGATGGCATAAACCAATAAAGTATGAAAAATAGCAAAAAAAAAAATCCCCAAAGTGTGTTCTTTGTCACTTTTCTGAAGGCGGGGGAAAGCAAACATTCTCTTGATTCTCCGAGGCAATTTGACTGGAAGTAAAGGCCAGATACCCGCGCCTGCCCGAAAAATGACAATTGTTAAAGAGGTGGGGGGGAGGAAGCAAACAAGTGGAACTTCCCCCTTTTTGGGTGAAGTCCTGCTTAAAATAAAATAAATTAATGCACTTTTTTTTTTTTTTTTTTGCAGGTTAAACATTTAGCTTTTTTTTTTGTTTTCTTTTTTGGGAGCCTGTTAAGCTTTGCACCTAAAATCAGCAGATCAGCTTGTGTAAAACCAGCCTGTTGGAAATGGTAGATCAGCGTCGCCAGCTGTGCTGATCTTGTTTAGCAGTGTGTGTTGTTGCATGGCAAATGAGCTACAAATGTACCAAAATGCATGCTGAAGAAAATGTGCTGCACCTTAGAAGGTGCTGGAGCCTCTTTTGGCATGTTTTTTTTTTCATGCACAGGGCAGCCTATTCAAGCAAATAGGCTGCCCTATGTGCAACAAATGCAACCGGAATGCGCATTCCACTGTGGGGCCTGACCGGTCAGGGCATGGATTCCAGTAGACCTCTGAAGGTATGCTGTGGTATCTGCCACCAGGCCGTCAGTATCAGATTTACATCTTGTAAATTGCCATGTGGATATCCTGATTTGCAGAGACCCCTCTATTGTAGGTCTTCTACTGAAGATACCTTTTAACTCCAAACTTTGATGGAGACCATTATGAAATTTGGAACCTTTTCGGGCTTCATCATAAATTGTACAAAATCTGTTATACCCCATTGATTCGTTGCCCTCCCCTTTGCCTGTGTGTGCAAGACAAATCCCTGTAACTACATCCTTCAAATATCTTTGTGTGGTGATCTCCTCAGACCCCTCTAAATATCTCCTATTATATTTACAACCCTTATTAGACAAAGATGGAAGAGTCATAGCTGGTGTATGAGAGTTTGGAGGGAGTTCAGTTTATTAAAAGGATCTGGGCCCTTTAACCCCTATATGGATCCCACAGAAATGATTTAAGCGAGTTGATTCCCAGTTTAGGGACCTTATCTGAAAATGGCAAACTGCCCAGATAAGCTTGACTACCCTACAGTATGGTAAGGACAGGGGGGGCCTTGCTGCCCAATTCCAGCACTTTTCTGGTTGGGGCTGTCAGGATAATTTGGACCCAATTACTCAGATGATCACTAATCATGATTGGCTGGCTATTTCTCATTTGGAAATGGATTTACTGGTCCTTCCCTCCTCCTGTCCTACTGCCACTCTTATTGAAAGTCTGGAAATCCTTAAAAGCTGCGCTATCCATTTCTGGCTTCTTAGAATCCACTCCATGTGGCATAATCCCAGGTACCCATAGTTAAATTAGAGAGATTCTCTGGATGGAGACAAAGGGGTATTTTATATATTGCTCATTGTGTTTTTCCAGATACTTTCCTCAAGACTTATGACCAGTTGAGATTGGAGTTTTCGCTAACCCATAAACATTTTTATAAATATCTGCAGCTTAGACACGCTCTTCAGAAAGCAGAATCGCTCCCTCACCATGTCTAGCTTCACATTAATGGCTGAAGTGCTTCATGCTTCACTACACAAGGGATTGATATCTCGTGTATATATACAGTGCCTTGAAAAAGGATTCATATTCCTTGAAATTTTCCACATTGTCATGTTACAACCAAAAAACGTAAATGTATTTTATTGGGAGTTTATGTGCTAGACCAACACAAAGTGGTACATAATTATGAAGTGGAAGGAAAATGATAAATGTTTTTCAAAATTTACAAATACAAATGAAAAGTGTGGCGTGCATTTGTATTCAGCCCCCCCGGAGTCAATACTTTGTAGAACCACCTTTCACTGCAAATACAGCTGCAAGTCTTTTTGGGGATGTCTCTACCAGCTTTGCACATCTAGAGAGTGAACCTTTTGCCCATTTGTGTTTGCAAAATAGCTCAAGCTCTGTCAGATTGGATGGAGAGTGTGTGAACAATATACAGGTCACATAGAGCGTGAGGATGGAGACAAGGGGTTAATGTGTGGGATAAGGAGATGGGGGAGGGGGGGGTTTAATATATAATCACTGTGGTAGCAGGATGAAGCTGTGATGAATAGGTGAGGGTAGGTGATTAAAAATTATGCCACAATCAAATGGATACCTTGACTCTGCTGTTGCCTCTTATTTTCTACTAACAGATGATTTATTCATTCATTACTTCCTCTTTCCAAGTGGCTTTGTAATTGGTGATCCTAGCAATTGCAAGGTACAGAGCTGATTGTATCCGCTCTGTACGTTGAGGGGAATTTATCAAAATTGGAGCAACTGTATGTGGCAGCCAATCAGCCTCTATCTTCAGCTTGTTTAGTTAAGCTTTGAAAATGAAAGATAGAAACTGGTTGCCATGCACAGTTTCTCAGTTTTTTTTTTTATAAATTCCCCTCATGTCTATAGTCTGAGCTTGTTCGATGATGGCGCAGATCACAGCCATTGACAGACACACTGGCCAGCCATGTGTGATTTTTGGAGTGACATTTATATATGGCATTCCTGAAATACATGTCCACTGTGCCCTGCCTTTGTGTTTATTTTTTTTTTTTTGCATAATGGCATTAGGGAAGTAGCTCTCCATCTGTTTTGAGTGAAAATCCATCTTCTCTCCAATGGTAAATCTGTTGCAGACCTGTGCAAATCTGTGCTGCCATGAGTACTGATACAGTAGTAGCAAATATGCATAGATCAGTCACATAGACTTTATTTACACTTATCTGAACCCCCCCCCCCAAAAAATTTTTTATATATTGAAGCTTTGATGTAGTAGTGGCTGCAGTAGTTTTCACTATTCAGGCTAAGAACATTTTTCAGCAAGTATTGTGTAAATTACTAGTCCCATCATGTGATGGAGATGAACATAGTAAGACCTGTTTGAAGTCCAGCCTGCATGACAACCATGGCGGCCCTCATAGATACAATGGAGAAATGAATGTATACAGGAAGTTTATTTGCAGAATTACCAGTTGAAAATAAAGGGGGGGGGGAACTGAAGAAAGAACTTGAATACAGCCACCACAGTTAAGGACCGGTAAGCTGCAGGTTTATAAAATAGTATTTTTGGGTTTAGATGCCCTTGACAGGCAGCCTGACTTGCATTTATATTGCTTAGTAAATGCCCCTCGTTTATTTTTAACTGGTCAGTATGGAAATGTCCTGTAAATAACATTTTTGGTTGTCGTGTCCTGCATTATTGATTTGTTCACCTGAATGAAGTCCTTAATGCACAACTATGAATGTATGTATACATGCCTACAATTGCTATGGAAAATTAGGATAGATCTAAACAAAACTTTGTTTTTTGATAGAATAGGGAACAGTTAAACACTTGATACATTTTTTTTTTAATAATATGAGGGGGGGAATCCCCTCTTACCCGTTTCATGCACTTTGTCCCACAGCAACAACCACCTGCACAAAAGATGCGGAACCCACAGGCGGATGCCATTTATCTTAATGGCAATCCGCCCACACTGGAAATCGCACCTGTACTGAGGAACAAACTGTAGTGTTTCTACAGTTTGTTGTAGTGTTTGCAGGCTACGATTTCTAGAAAGGTGTAGAGACCTTTTTCTGTCGTTTTGCAAGGTACGGCAGCCCATTCAAATGAATGGGCTGCTGTGCCGTGTCCCCCAAAACTACACTAGTGTGAACCAAGGCTTAGATAGTTGTCACTTGGAACACATGGTGGTATCAGCTGTAAAATTTTGGATTTTCTGATAGTCTGTACCAGTGACAAGGGGAACACAGATGGCAATGAAAACTCAACTGTTTTCTTTAGGAGCACTCTTCTTATTCTTTCCAAAACTAATAACATTTTTTGTCTAGAGCTACACTGTAAGTTTATTATTTTTTTTATTGGGCAAGGTTCTCCCTCAGGTTTTTATCACAACAGATTACTGATGGGAAAAGTTCACACCTTTTTAGTGACCATCTTAAAATGGGGGGGGGGGGGGGGGGGGAAATCTCTCTAACCCAGATCCTCAAAGCCACCCGCTCAAGCCCATAAGTATTCATTTTATTTTTTTTTTCCTAGAATTGAGGAAACTTGGCGTTTGTGGCAAAAGTTCCTGGAGGATTACTCTAAATTTGATGACTGGCTTAAAGATGCTGAAGCAATGGCTGCTTCTCCAGACTCTTCTGATGTACTGTACACGAAAGCCAAAGAAGAACAAAAGAAGTTTGAGGTTTGTATCTGCAGAGGCCATAAAATAGAATTCTGCACAATAATTATTATACAGGATTTATATAGCGCCAACAGTTTGCGTAGCGTTTACAAAATGAAGGTAGACATTATAGTCACAATACAATTTGGTACAAGAGGAAACAGAGGGCCCTGCTCGTTAAAGCTTACAATCATCAAGATTAATGAAAACATCTATTGCTATAAAACTTTTTATTTACCAGTTGTAAAATTTCACTCTAGGCCTTTCAGCGGCAGATTCATGAGCGTCTTACTCATTTGGAACTGATAAACAAGCAGTACAGGAGACTTGCTCGAGAGAATCGCACTGATGCAGCCAGCAGATTGAAGCAGATGGTACATGAAGGCAACCAGAGGTGGGACCAGCTCCAGAGAAGAGTGGCTGCCATTCTGAGGAGGCTGAAGGTAAGGCAAGGGGTAGAGGTCATCCTATGGGTTACTTTGTGAGCTTCAGAGCTAACACACAGCAAGAGTTCAACTTACTTTTGACTTGGCTTTATGAATGATGTTTATCTGCTGCTTTATTTATCTGCTTTTTTGTAAATCTGGTTTCAGCACAGTTGGAACAAGTGTTTGGGTGTCTTAACAACAGCCCAGCCCAGCCCAGCCCAAAAGTAAAACCATTTTTTTTCTTGACAGCTCTACCAGCATCCCCTATTCCTTACTAAGGCAATGTGTAGCTTTCAGTATGGAAGCAGTTTAGTCATCTCTCATCCTCCGGACACAATATGAAGCTTCCTGTACTTCATATTGGTGAACCTCCTATAAACTTTTAAAGAAGGTTTCTGAGAACCTTTATTTACCCCCTTCAATCGCCATACGGCCTCTAATTCTTGGAGCATTTGTTTTATCATACATCTATTTACCATTCGCCTCCATTTTTGTTCCTTTTGTCCATGTGCCCACTTTTCCTTCACAATTACATCCATACTTCCTCCCTTGTCCTGATGACAACAATTATCTAAAAGTGGTCTACTCACTTTCGTGCACCACCACTGATGGCATGCGTAGTAGTGTATGATAGTATCCGGCGTCTGAAATCTCAACTATTGAGAGATTCATAGCAACTGGAAACTTCTAGTGGTAACAGGTGCTTTCCACAGTCCTGTATCAGATTTCCAAGCCCCTACAGGATCTATATGGTACAGGGGCTGGTCGTATTTACTGATGTAATGAAAATGATAGCCATGAAAACAGGAACATGAAATCGCTTTAAAACGCAAACATTGTTTTAGTTTAGTATAGATAGAAGTGCTGAAAACTCCTTTAGGTTTTATTGCTGTCTATGTTCCTTTTGGGGAGATTAACTCTTTATTTGTCCAAGTAACCATTGTCACTGATACAGAAAATGATGGAACATTTTAAATGTTATAATCAGAGGAACAAGGGTTTATCTTTTGGTGGGTTTGGTGAGATTTCCTCCCATTCCTCTAATGCCTCTGGAGTAGGAAGTGAAAAAAGATAAGGAATGTCACTATTCCTCAGGCAGGCCATTGATGATTCATTTGCTGGTTGAACAATCAAAAGTGATTTGGTGTCCCCATCAATACACTGGCTGTTGATGGGGGATTCCCTCCTGTGGAGCTGTTGTATTCTGACAGTGGGGAGGAGTTCCCTGCCATTAGAATACCATGATCAGTGTTGCTGGCTATAGCTTCCCTTCCCCCTTTCTCCCATCATATACCATTTTACACTTTTGATTATTGCAGGATTGCTAATGGTCAGAGGATATGCTGGTATAAATGTGCTGTGGACTCAAAAGGTTTGTTTTTTATTTGTAGTATTTCTTGTGTTTAAATGATCTTATGTTTTCCTTCAGCATTTTACTAGCCAAAGAGAAGACTTTGAAGGTACCAGAGACTGCATTCTGGTGTGGCTTACGGAAATGGACTTACAACTTACTAATGTGGAGCATTTCTCAGAAAGCGACATCGAGGAGAAAATGCAACAGTTAATTGTATGTAATTTTTTTTTCCCATTTGTTGTCCATGATATTCTTTGTATTTTATATATTGACACTTGTTTGTGTTTTTATATGTTGTATGTGGTTTGTAATATATGTTTCATCGAAATTAAGTGCTATACATTGATTCCACTATAAAAAGTTATGTGCATTAGGTGAAAAGGCTACTACTACCTTGTGCTATTGAACAAATTGCTTACTCTGATGTACACTTAAGTGTCTAATAGCAATCCGTTATCCACAACTGAACCATTGTGCAATTAATCCCAACTAAATGCTACTTGTGTAGCTTATACCATAGCAGAGTGTTTGTTTAGTCTTTTAAAGATCATCCCTATGATAGTTTTTAGTAGGCAGAAGCATGCCAGTATACACACAGACAGATTTCCCATTCTCTTTCACAATTAGATGGATAAGTGAGTTATGGGAGTCTTTCTAAGCCACACATGGGCTAATATAAGCCAGTTAGGTCTAAAGCCAATGTTTATTTACAAGTTTGCAGAACTATAGTATTGAATGTGAACAAGCCATGCTCTGGTTAGATCATGTTCACTAGGACCATGAAAAATGTGCAAGAAATTAAAACATTAGCTAGCCATTAAACCTTTCATTTTGTGGTTCAACTACGTGTTATAGTTATGGCTGTGTGTGTGTGTTTCAGGGATTTAAACAAGAAATTACCTTGAACACCAACAAGATCGACCAGTTGATAGTTTTTGGAGAGCAACTAATCCAGAAAAGCGAGGCTATGGATGCCGTGGTTATTGAGGATGAGCTGGAAGAGATTCACAGATATTGCCAAGAGGTATTTGGAAGAGTCTACAGATTCCATGAGAGACTGACATCAAAGGGTTTGGTAAGTAAGAACTGTATGGGAGGGTAAGAACTGTATGGGAGGGCATGAGGTTGTCAGGCTACAGTGCCCTGAAAAAGTATTCATACCCCTTGAAATTTTTTCACATTTTGTCAAGTTACAACCAAAAATGTAAATGTATTTCATTGGGATTTTATGTGATAGACCAACACAAAGTGGCACGTAATTGTGAAGTGGAAGGAAAATGATAAATGGTTTTTAAAATTGTTTTACAAATAAATATCTGAAAAGTGTGGCGTGCATTGTATTCAGCCCCCCCAGAGTCAATACTTTGTAGAACCACCTTTCTCTGCAATCCCAATAAAATACATTTACATTTTTGGTTGTAATATGACAAAATGTGGAAAATTTTAAGGGGTATGAATACTTTTTCAAGGCACAGTAAAAAGCTGATTTACAACCTACTGATATAGTTTACATTTGGGCATTGTTTTCATTACAAAAATTAGCAAGGTGGACCTGTCAGTTTGTAGAAAACCTAATGCTGAGAAAATGTTTAGCAGGGATCCTCTTCCAGTGATGGCCATTTTAGTGTGTGTTTTTGGGTTTTTGCTTTTCAGTGTCTGCTGTCCTCCTGCTGCTACAAATATGCAGGGAGAATAGATCAAAGGAGAATTGTTGTGGTAAATGTGCAGATATGAATGGGGACTAAACTCTCTCACAGCTTAACCATGTAGTGGTATCCTTTTAACATGCATGCATACATAAAATCGCACATGGAAGTTACACTTAAATCTTCATAAATTAAAGAAAAAAATGTATACCAATATATCATCTATAAGCTGCACCTACTTTGCGGTATTAGGTCTCAAAACAAAATTGCTGGTTTAGGGTACATGGGTGATAGGGAGGTTATGTAGAAGATGCATATCTAACATATAGCAGGGCACTGGGGTTCCTCCTGCCAACCCCCCTACATTAGTAGTGTATCAGTGACATTATGGTAGCAGGAGGAACCACTATCCAACACACCATGAAGAGTTGGATAGCAGCAGCCAGAGTCATCAAACCACAAGCCAAATGGGTATATATAAACCTTCCTTTAGGCTCGGCTCACACTAGTGCGGGTGGATGCTGCTGCAGGACCTGCATTTCATCCCGCAGCTGCAACCACCCGCACACAAAACATGGGACCCATTAGTCTTAATGGGACGCCGCCTACACTTGGAACTGTACTGTAGTAAGATTCCCAATGCAGGCTGGGATTTCTGGAAAGTTGCAGGGACCTTGCTCTGCATTTTGGGAGGCACGGCAGCCCTATCAAATGAATGGGCTGCTGTACCGCAGCCCGCAGCCCGGATCTAGTGTGAACTGAGCCTTATTGGAGACTTTTCTAGTTAGACTGTTTTCTTTTTTTTTTTTTCTTTTTTTTTAACGCATGGTCACATACAAAAATTCTCTAAGAAGACCTTGTTTTTCTCTTACTCCTGTAAAGAATTTAGATGAAGAAAGAGAAACATCTGAAAATGATACAGATGGAGAAGATTCAAGAGAAATCCAGAATTCTTCCTGGCATTCCACAATCCCTGAAGTAGAGACCTCACACCAGTCTCTGTGCCACCTGATGCCGCCACCGCTCCCACATGAGAGGTCAGGCCGTGAAACTCCAGTCAGTGTAGACTCCATTCCTCTAGAGTGGGATCCAACTGTTGACGTGGGCGGATCTTCTATGCACGAGAATGAGGAGGAGGGTGCCTATTACAATTCTTTGTCAGGTAAAGGTTTTTGGTATTTATTTGGTATTACCATAAATGTTTGACCAAAGAGAATCTGTCACTCGCCTTACTCCTTTATTCAACAATGCCCTGCTCCTCCACTGCAAATCCCCAGCACTTCTAGGTATGGGGGCGCATGTAGACCTTGTGCCCTGAGTGGCCCATCACCAAGCTCAGACTCTTAACTGATGAGAAGAACATCAGCCCAGTGTAAGCTCTATAATCTGCTGGCAATGAATTCACACAGAGCTTGACTCCTGAAGGTGAGAGGGTTGGGGGTGGGCAATGTGGCAGAGTCTCTTCAAACATGTTCTATTATTGCCTTTATTCTTCATCATTGTTTGCATTTTCCAGTTTTGTTTACATTCTTTACACTGAGGGGAAAAAAAATTACCTTGCTTTCTTCCAGATGTAGAAATTGCTGAAAGTCCCGAGGCCTATGTCATAATGACAACAAAAACTGTCCAAGCATCTTCTGGTAGGCCCCAGCCCAATGCATGTGTCTCACTCTGGCACCATTGCTGTGATGCACGCTTACTCCTTCCTCATACCCCTTCATCTGCGCCGTTACCTCTACTGCTTCTTGTGTGAGCATCATATGTCCCAAACCACATCCCAGGATGTCCATCATGGCACATCACCAACATCTCTGTTGCTGGCTGACAGATTGTACAACAGCATTATTGATGTGTGGCCATGTTCTTGGGATATATGCATTATTCTGACGTGGCATCATTTTATTTATTTTTAATTTTCTTCTTTTTGCCTCTGCCTTGCTAAGAAATTGCACACCAATGAATATACACAATGCTTGACACTTTGTGTATTTTTGTCTTTGTTGATTTAGCTTTTCCACATCATTTGAATTTTTACCCCACACTTTTGCAATGAAATCACTTTGGATTTAAGCCATAACTACCTCTTTGCACCTTAGTTGCACATTTGATAATCTAAGGCAGAATGGAGAAGCAGTGTCTGTAAATCATTTATATGATCAGTTGATGATAGTTTCTATACTTCAGTTAGTTTCTTCTTTTGGTTTTAGATGAAGTAGGGAACAAATAAAATGTCTTTTGTTTCTTCCTGTCCCTATGTTTCCTCTACAAAAGCTGGAGGTTAAAGGCACAGGCTGCAATAAAAATGTTGTCAGAGGTTTCAACCCTTCCTCGCCAAGTTTATTTACTAAAACTGGAGCGCGCAAAGAGGCTAATCAGCTTCCAGTTTTTTGGGGGTTTTTTTTGTCAAATTGAACAAGCCGAAGTTAGAAGCTTGATTGGCTACAGTGCACAGTTGCACCAGAATTTGCACTCTCCGGTTTTAGTAAATCAACCCCACAATCTGCACTCTCCAGTTTTAGTAAATTAACCCCATAATCTGCACTCCCCAGTTTTAGTAAATCAACCCCATAATCTAACCCTTTCATGCTTATCCAGTGCAAAATAAAATGATTGGTTGGAGTTGGCTTTAGCTTCCCTAAACAGAATATAATCCAGGTAGAATTGTAGACATGTGAAATGTTGTTCTTGTGAACATTTGTCGCAGTTAAAGTACATAGCTATACAAAGAACTCCATGGCAAGGAGTTTGGACTTTCTCCATTGAGGATGATAGAATCTTCAACCATAGTTAATGGTCTTATGACAGTTTGCTGCTTCCCCATCCTGCTTTACAGTATATCAGAAAGGTGCAGTTACAATTAAACCATCTTTTTTATTTTATGTGGTTTGCATGGGCATTTCGGAACATTTTGCTAAGCCATTCATTATAAGTACTACCGATCTAACCTTTTACATCAGCTTTTTCTCTTTTTAAAATGTCATATAACCTTGATTTGGGTGCTTCTCATATCCTGCATCCACGCTTTTCCCTTAAATGCTGCTGGTAAGTTTTTATGGTGGTGCCTGTAGAAAGAATGGTTGGCATTGCTCGACGGCACCACTTTCCACAGTTCTCCATACTTTCAACTAATAATAATAATAATCTGCTATTACAGGGAAATCAGATTTGGAAACTCCATCATGGCATTCTCCAGACAAGCACATGGCAGTTGTAAAGCCAGAGTACAAACAAAATGAGAGTACACAGGGATTGATATCCGCTACAGTAGGAACAAACGTCTTGATTGCTGTGTCTGCTGTAAGTTTTGCATTGTTAGCTACTGGTAATGGGGGACAATAGTGGAATGCTACAGCTGCTTAATGACTGTGCTTTTGTATTTCTAGAGTGAGAAAACCTCCACTTCCACTCCCTCCAGAGAGACCGATGTGAGAACATCAGATACCATTAATGAACAGCTCGATGACCAGGGTCTTAGAGGAATTTACAGCCCAGAGACACATTCAGGTATAATAGGATAGAACATGTTGTTTAACCACTTGCCTACCGGGCACTTTCACCCCCTTCTGCCCAGGCCAATTTTCAGCTTTTAACGCTGTCGTGCTTTGAATGACAGTTGCGCGGTCATGTAACACTGTACCCATAGGAAATTTTTAGAATTTTTTTGAGACAGATAGAGCTTTATTTTGGTGGTATTTAATTACCACTGGGGTTTTTATTTTTTGATAAACGAAAAACTGAAAATTTAGAAAAAAACATTTTTCTTCGTTTCTGTTATAAAATGTTGTAAATTAGTAATTTTTCTCCTTCACTGATGTGCGCTAATGAGACTGCAGTGATGGCCATGGATAGGCTGCACTGATGGGCACTGATGAGAAGGCACTGGTAGGTGGCACTGGTGGGCATTCACAGGCATCACTGATGGGCACTGAAAGGCAGTACTCATATATGGCACTGATAGGCGGCACTAACTTGCACAGTTAGGCGGCACTGACTGGCAGCCCTCACAGGCGGCACTGACTGGCAGCCCTCACAGGCGGCACTGACTGGCAGCCCTCACAGGCGGCACTGACTGGCAGCCCTCACAGGCAGCACTGATATGTGGCATTGATGTGCTCTGGTGGGCACTGACATGTGGCATTGATAGGGCTACACTGATCATCAGTGCCCTGATGATCAGTGTAGATGGCCCCTCTGAGGAATGCCGATTACTGTCTCTCCTCTAATCACGAGCTGTCAGTGTGACAGCTCGTGGGGAGAGAAATGCTAATAACCGGCATTTCCTTATTTACATGCGATCAGCTGTGATTGGACACAGCTGATCACATGACAGAGCCAAAGTCATCTGCTCTTTCCGCTGATCGGAGATCTGCTGTGTCCCAGGGACACAGCGCACCACCGATCGCCGTGCTGCGTGCCCCCACAGTTAGACAGTTAGAGTGGGAGGATGTCTTATGACGTCCTCCCAGAACGAGAGAACCGCCTTGCCCCCTTCTTTTCCTTATATGGCAGGCGGGCGGCAGTTAAATTTCTAATGTTAAAAACAAAAAACACTTTTTTTTTTATAGCTTTCACTCACTCAGTAAAACCTACTCTTGCTTAATATACTATCACCTGGTAGTTTGTGATTGTGTAAAGCAGAACTAAAATCTATATTCAAGTAAACAATGGTAGGCAGGCTGTTTATTACTGGATAGACATGTCTCTTCTGCAGTAAAATAAACTTACCTGCCTGCACACACTTTAAACTTTCATAACAAAACTGGATAAAACACTGTTGGTGCTCATTTCGGGAAACTCCTTTTCCCCTAATTTCTATACAAAAAGAAACAAAGGCGTAAATGACTTTAAAGTTGCTCATATACCCTCAGAATAAAAAACTTTGACACTGAATATATAAAAAATATAATTTTATTACATATAGTAAAATGGAACATACACACCCACCCATAGAATCGGGTAAGAAAATGAACCCTTCAGTACAGTGAACCCCTTTATGGGTGATGCTCATCCCTTGGAGAGAGGCTTATGTAGGAAAAGACAGAGAGCTATATTGCCTACCTGACTTTGGATTTTCGTCTTTCCACGGAGGGTGGATGACATTTTTTGGAATCGTTAGGGTCCCAGTTACTGCAGGTATTTGACATCTATCAAGCTACATACTATCTTGCAAATTCTTTGTGGGCCATTGCCTGAGGAAAAGGAGATTCCTAGTCCATGGCTATCCTCCTCCAAATCATAGAAACATTGTGGTGTGCAGGCTGCTGTGTGCTTTGGCTCGCAAGGTCCCGGCAATGTCCGGTCCCGTTGTGCCCATCTCTGTTTCTTGGGGTCGATCTTTGGTCCGAGCAACCGTCCGTATGGTGTTTTCCCCCTCCTCTGAACCCCTGAAGATGTTTCAGTGAAATGTGTTGGGTTCTACCATCATATCACCTTTCCATATTGATGATGGTTACACTGGTAACCTTTCAATCATAGTTGGGTATTGTTAGAAAAGGGAAGGTGTGAATTGGGGTTCACTGTACTGAAGGGTTAATTTTCTTACTGGATTATATGGGAGGGTGTGTTCCATTTTACTAGATGTAATATAATTCTATTTTTTATATATTCAGTGTGTCAACCTTTTTTTTATCCTGAGGATATATGAGCACCTTTAAAGTCCTTTATGCCTTTGTTTCTTTTTGTATATGTTAATACTTGGACGTGGTCCTGATGGATCTGACATACCAATTGTGAATATTCCTTCCCCCTAATCAGGAATCCATTTTCAGGGCTCTTTATTACATTATGCTATGTTCTGGAAGGAACCCATTTAGCTCATCATGCAGCGTAGCGTATCCAAACTGCAGCACAGAGAGTATGTATTTTCCAGTCTATGCATTTTGTGAACAACCAATGTAATGTGGAAGTAGCCTTTATTTTACTATTTATCATATTATTGTGGTAATACCAGTATCTACTTGCCTAGGTATTAGTAGCTCTTGTATTATTTATGCAAGTGGCAGATTAGGCTTCTATATAGAACTTTGTCCTTGGTCCGTTGGGCTCTATTGTCCGCCGACTCAGTCCATATGAGCCTTCTCCAAGATGGCCACTGCATGGCCTAAAGAAGGAGTACGTAAGCTTTGAATGTGTGCCATTCCCGCTGTCTGTCTCAAAATCCGGGAGTGACACCACCAGCTGTCAGTGTCGTATACACACAACCAGGTAGCCATGGGATCCACTAGAGTGGCCCAGACGAGCGGTCCTTCCTCAAAGCGGCCATTGACAAACCCTGTAGTGGGATTCTACATGATTGCTACTATTCATTTTCATGTAAATTGGTACACGTGTGAATTAAGCTGTTTTTATTTACTACTACACTCAGATGGCGCCACTTTTTATCTTTTTTTGGATCTCCACAGAGCCACTTCTAGCTCCTATAGCCAGCTGCCACATCATAGACATTTAAACTACTGAGGACTTGAATTTGGCTTTGTACTAGTGTCTTAGGTCCAGAGACACTAGCATAAAACTTTTAGAGTTGCCTCTTTTGATTCCAGCTCCACTCTCCTTTTTACCAATTCACCCTCAACCAATGTTCCTGCCTAAAGTTTGGTCCCACTGAATAGGGCGAGCAACTTGTACTGTGATATGGAGGCTGCCATCGTTGATATCCTTGTGAAAATGCTAGTTGCCTGTCTGTTTCTGAGCCATGGACTAGTAAGTGCTGGTTCACAGATATGCGGATTGGATGTGGTTTGAACCACATCCAATCAGCAGGGCATGTGAAATAACATTGCTTCCTATGGTGCCTGTTCACATATGTCCAGTTCACTGGTGGTGTGACTTCGGTGTGGATTGTGAAAAAAAGTCCTGTTCGATTTTTTTGTCCGGTTCAGGTGCAGATTACAGGCTATTGATTTGTATGGGAACCGTTTCTAAACCGCACATGTGTGAACAGGATAAAATCCTGACCTGAACCTGATGTCAATCTGACCTGAACCGCTGAACAATTACTGTGTGAATTAGCTGTGAAACCTGAGCTTCAGTCTGCACCGCACGTATGGGAATCTGCACTTAAGCCAGCCATAGACGGTTCGAATCTCGGCTGGTTCAGCAAGGACTGGCTGAGATTTGATTTATCTATGGGCAGACTGATTGTACCCAAGTTGATCCATTGATCGACTTGTGTACAACCAGCATTTTGGATTTCTAGCATGGAAATATTTCCAGCGGCTATAGCTGTTAACAATACTCATTGTATTCTCCCAGCAGGGATAGCTTCCCGCGACCCCCCCTACCCCAGGGGAACACAATAGCTATGCGGGAGGAACTCCCATGGTTGCAGGAAAGAAAATTGCATCATCTATCATCTTGAAGTCAGAACTGGTCATCGACATACCTGTTCCTGATTTTAAAAAAGCCAGCGAATAATCCTGCCTGCCGACTTGGCATTATCAGAATGAAAGCTCAGCAATGACAGCATCTGTAATGTTTTCCTTATAGACTCTTTTAATAGGAATTGCCACCCCTGAGCAAGTTTTGGTGCAGCTAATTTTCAGCCAGGTCTGTCTGTGTGTACCACAAGCAGATGAAAAACTAGCTATTAGCTGCACACATTTATGGGCTGTTTTTTTTTTTTTTTTTTTTCTTGTCTATTATTTTTTCTTTTTTTTAAGTCTTTCATCCAATTACACATCTTGGGATGCTGATTACTTAATTATCCACTTGTTAGTCTATTTTTATACCACACTTAGTCATCTGCTAGTAAAGCTGTAACGCACTGACCTGACAGATTCGCTTAATGTGCTAAAATACAGCACAGAAAAATAGTAAATTCAAAATCTAAAACCAACATTTAACAAGTATAATGGAAAGAACCTACAATTCATGAAGCTGAACACCAGGTAAATTGGTAAAAGCACAGATTAAATACGTACAAGGTAGCTGTTTTACCTGAAAAAGGATTTATATTTTTGTTCTTCCGGTTTTGTGATTTACACAGCACGGGCAACCTGATTTTCTCTGCTGCAGTTGAGTAACACAGGGCTTGTCCCCAGTGTCTGATTTGACAGTGAAAAGAGGATCAGTAGACTTGTGAAGTCATCTTTATGTTGCTGTACTGTCAAAATGACTAGTGCAATACAACTGACTCCTTGTGCTGCTTCTCTCATCTATTCTGAGTTCTTCTGTACTAGAGATTGCCAGAGGCAGATACCAAATCAAGTTCGGACATTAACATTACCCATCCAAAACTCTCTAATAGCTGTAGGATAAAAACTGTTCTACACCTGGATATGAACTGTACATGCAGTGGTGCAGAAAGATAATGCATCAGTTTTTTTTTTTGTTTTTTTTGCTTTAGGCTAGGTCCACATTGATGTGACTATGCAAGCCTCTTGAAAAGCAGGGAAAAGGTTACTGAACCATTTCTGGAATTGCAGTCTGCATGGGAATTGCAAGTGCAGTGTGGTTCCCAGTGCGGGAGTGGTTTTTCTAATGCAGACAAATTCTATTAGGATTAATGGCACTGACACACATCTGCATTTTTCTGTGTGGGTGGGTGGGTGTGGATTCCGGGAAAAGGTGCCCGTGTTGGTAATCACTCATACAGATGTGACCCTAATCTGTTGTCTTGATTCTTGTGCAATAATTTGCAGGAAACTGCAAACAAAGCCCATAATAAAAGGCCAGATAGTCGGTATTGGGCATCTGCACAATCATTAAAGGGTCACTAAACTTATAACACAGGTTTTGTGTAAAAACCTGCTGAGAATGTTCACAAACATCCTTGGGAAAGTGTCCACACCTGTACAGAGAAGGAGATGCACTCTACGGTCAGATGTTTGTACACAGCTGATAATCACATCTATATATTCATGTTGGGCATCCATTACAAAATCAGACATTGACATGGAGTTGGCCACCTCCTTTTTTGGACTGTGACAGCCTCCACTCTTCTGGGAATTTTTTCCACAAGATTTTGTGTCTATGGGTATTTGTGTCCATTTGGTCAAAAGAACATTCGTGAGGTCAGGTACTGATGTTGAATGAGAAGACCTAATGCAAAAGTCACCAGCACTCTTAATACACTGCTCAAAAAATTTAAAGGAACACTTTTTAATCGGAGTATAGCATCAAGTCAATTAAACTCCTGGGATATTGATCTGGTCAGTTAAGTAGCAGAGGGGGTTGGTAATCAGTTTCAGCTGTTTTGTGTTAATGAAATTACCATCAGGTGCACTAAATGGGCAACAATGAGACAACCCCAAAACAGGAATGGTTTTACAGGTGGAGGCCACTGACATTTTTTTCCCTACTCCTCTTTTCTGACTGTTTTTCACTAGTTTTGCATTTGGCTAAGGTCAGTGTCACTACTGGTAGCATGAGGTGATACCTCGACCCTACAGAGGTTGCACAGGCAGTCCAACTCCTCCAGGATGGCACATCAATACGTGTCATTGCCAGAAGATTTGCTGTGTCTCCCAGCACAGTCTCAAGAGCATGCAGGAGATTCCTGGAGATGGGCAATTACTCTAGAACAGCTGGACAGGGCCATAAAAGGTCCTTAACCCATCAACAGGATCGGTATCTGCTCCTTTGTGCAAGGAGGATCAGGATGAGCTCTGCCAGAGCCCTGCAAAATGACCTCCAGCAGGCCACTGGTGTGAATATCTCTGACAAAACAATCTGAAACAGACTTCATGAGGGGTGGGCTTGGGGGCTCAATATCCTCTAGTGGGCCCTTTGCTCACTGCCCAGCACCATAGAGCTCAATTGGCATTTGCCATTGAACACCAGAATTGGCAGGTCCACCACTGGTGCCCTGTGCTTTTCACAGATAAGAACAGGTTCACCCTGAGCACATGGGACAGATGTGAAAGGGTCTGGAGAAGCCGTGGAGAACATTGTGCTGCCTGTAACATCGTTCAGCATGACCATTTTGGTGGTGGGTCAGTAAAGGTCTGTGGAGGCATATCCATTGAGGGACACACAGACCTCTCCAGGCTATATAATGGCACCCTGACTGCCATTGAGTATCGGGATGAAATCCTTGGACCCATTGTCAGACCCTACGCTGTTGCAGTGTGTCTTGGGTTCCTTCTGATGCATGACAATGCCCGGCCTCATGTAGCGAGAGCTTGCAGGCAGTTCCTGGAGGCTAAAGGAATTGATACCATTGAATGGCCCCCACGCTCGCCTGACCTAAATACAATAGAACACCTCTGGAATATCATGTTTCGGTCCATCTCCCGTCGCAGGTTGCACCTCAGACTGTCCAGGAGCTCAGTGATGCCCTGGTCAAGATCTGGGAAGAAACACCCCAGGACACCATCCTTCTTATTAGGAGTATGCCCCGACGTTGTCAGGCATGCATACAAGCACGTGGGGGCCATACAAACTGCTGAGTACCATTTTGAGTGGCTGCAATGAGATTTCAGCAAAATGGACTAGCCTGCTGCATCATTTTTCACTTTGACTTTTGGGGTGTCTTTGAATTCAGTTCTCTGTAGGTTGATAATTTTCATTTCCATCAAATGATGGGGTATTCTTATGTTCCTAACACCCGTCCATATCAGTATAGATATCCAGCATGATAACACATTACCCCGTCCATATCAGTATAGATATCCATTATGATATTTTTCCCCATTGAGATCTGATGTGTTTTCAAAGTGTTCCTTTTTATGAGCAGTGTATGTGTGTTTTCCTTGTGTTTTTTTTTTTTGCAAAGACCACGCCACATAAGGCATTAAGAAGTCATTGTTTTGAGGACTCCTAATATTCCCCTTCTCAAGGCAATATAGTCAATATGTTGCCTTGAGAAATGGACGCTGCAGGGCCCCGAAATGTCAAATTCTTATGCTTTATGTGCATGCTTTATGTGCAACTACCTTCTAAAAAAAAACAACACATTGAACATGCCTATTTAGACTTTAGGATGACAAGACCTGGATCACAATCACCATTCCAGTTCATTCCAGAGGTGTTTAGTAGAGTTCTGTGCAGTTCCCTTCAGTTCCCCCTTATCAAGCCATGTCTTTATAGAGTTAGATTTATACACATAGGCACAGTCATTCTGGACTAGAAACAGTCAAATAGTAATACAACATGTGTACTTACTGATAAGCTTCCCTTTTAAATATATTCAGCTCCTATAATTCGCTAAAATATACATTTTTTTACACACAACCTACTTGTATTTGTTTAGTGGTCCTTGAATCCCCAATCCAAATCTAAGTTTGTTACACTGCAAGGAGACAATATAGTATTTAAATCTTATTCCTTTGAGCAACCATTAGATTGTAAATAACATGTTTTTGTGTTCCCTGCATAGACAGTAGGACATCTTGCTCTTAGTTGGAACTACTTGTTTAATACTTTTTTTTGTTTTTTTGGTTTATGCAGGTGTTATTGAACGCTGGGAGATTATTCAGGCTCAGAGCTTAAGCAATGAGCTAAGTGCAAAGCAGAATTTACAGCAGTGGCAACAAATTAATTCTGATTTAGATAATATCTCACTGTGGCTTGAGAAGACTGAAGCCGAGCTTGACAATGCCAAAAGACTAAAGCCATCTAAGTCCATCCAAGAACTGGAGCAGAAAGTAAAGAGATTTAAGGTATGCAAATAAGTTTATGCTGAATGATCAACTTGGACTGATTTAATAAATTACTTTTAAAGATAAAATGTTAAAATATTGAGCTAGTGATGTAAGGGATACATATACACACAAAGTGTCACGACAACTTTGCAGCTCATTAAAACCAACATGAATGATAAGGCGATCAAACGCCCACAAGCAGTTCAGTGTGATTTAATGGCAGGTGCAGATTTCAGATATTTATAATAATACAAAAGTTACATTATGAAAATATCTCACTATATTCAAAATCTGCATCAACTACCCGCATAGTGCTTGTAAGCTCTCTCCGTAAATGCCAAAACTGAAACGCATGGTCTGTGAGTGGTCCATTTGTAGTTCCCATCCTTTCTGCACTGTGCATGTGAAGTACTTTGGGTGCGCACTCAACTCACAGAAGCAGTGCTGTGCAGCTCACTATGTAAGTGTCTGGGCACATCTGGCTTGCAGAGAATGCATTAAGAGCTACTGAGCATTTAAAGTGGTTGTAAACCTTCGTGGGTTTTTTTTTTTCAATTAAAAATAACAAACATGTTATACTTACCTGCTCTGTGTAATGGTTTTGCACACATCAGCCCCCGTCTTGCTCTTCTGGGTTTTCCTGCCAGCACTCTTGGCTCCTCCTCCCTGATAAGTGCCCCCATAGCAAGCTGCTTGCTATGGGGGCATTCATGCGTGCTTGCTCCCAAGCCATAGTGTGTGTCTATAAGTCTCACACAGCCCAGCTCTGCCCCACTTCTCCTCTTCCTGCTTCACTGGCTGTGATTAAGAGCTGCTGTGTCTGAGCCAATGAGGATGAAGAATGCTGAGAGAGCCTCTGCTCCCGTGGTCATTACTGGATTAAGATCAGGCTCATGTAAGTATAAGGATTGATTGGGTAAGGGAGCTGCATACTGAAGTTTTTTACTTTCCTGCAAAGAACGCATGAGGATGAAAAACCTTCCGCCTTTAGAACCACTTTAATACTACTTTAAACCTCCCTTTCCAAAACCATGTGCATTGCTATGCAGTTGCCCCCCCCCCCCCCCACCTTGCAGCTGCTGTAACAATCTCCAGGCTTTCTACAAGATTTTGCAGTAGATCTTCGGAAATTTGTGCCCATTCAGCCAAAAAAAAGCATTTGTGAGGTTAGGTACATCATATTGGATATTCCTGTTCAACAGGCTCATTTTTACTGGGATTTTGCATCCCAGTACAAGTTCAAGGGATTGATTTATAGAAGTTTCTTGTGGCCATTACAGATTTGTGTGGTGCTTTTTAGATGAACCACACAGTTACATGGCTCATTGTTTCTTGTTAAAGTGGAGGCGTTGCGGTCCTTGGCCCAATACCCCCCCACCCCCCGGCAAAAAATAAAAGTCATCAGCTACAAATACTGTTAATATTAGAGCACTTACCTGTCCAGGGATTCAGCGGTGTCCTCACCCCAAGCTGATTATTTTCAGCTGTCCGGTGCTGACACCACCATCTTGATTGAGGGAAACTGGCAACGAAGCCTTGTGGCTTTACAGCCAGATTCCTAATGTGTAAAGCAGCGCACTGCTTTTTGTGAATGGGCTGCAGTCCTCTGGGACCTGTGAAATGTTCCAAAGGGCTCTAGGGCCTGGGGGGTGAACTTTTGGCTTAGTTCGCCACAGTGAACGGGGTTGGTGGCAGGAGTACCTGGCAAAACCCACTCCCCCCCCCCCCCCCCCCCCCCCAAAAGTGCCAAATGTGGTAGCGGAGGAGGCAGATAAGCAGAGATTCCACTTTTGGGTGGAGCTCCGCTTTAAGGATATTTATTGTGGATGGATTACTAACAAACCATGTGTTTTTGTTTCAAAAGTAATTTAATTATGAATTGGAAATGTATACATTTGGAAGATAACCACATGCTAGCAAAACAAAGAATATGTGACATGCTTTAGGTTTCCTTAGACTTATCAGTTCTGGTTCACTTTGATTTTATTTTTTAAATGTTCTAAAATATTTTTGGCTCTCCTAATGCACTGGATCTCTCTTGAGGCTCCTGTTAGCTGCAGTGTGCATGTCTGGTAAATACAAGCTGCAGGGCACAGTGTAAGTGAAGAATCTTAAAAACTGGCAAGTGTGAAAGCTGAACCCCAGGCAAGCGGCTACATGATAAATAAATATAACATAACTGGTTTACCACAGAATATTTGTATTCCCGCTTATCCAGAGCTAGGCTTTACATGATAGATCCAGGAGGATGAAACCATTTATAAGGAATAGAGTGGTGTCCTCTCGCCACCGGCCTGCTAACTAAACTGAGAAAGGCAGCCACATGGTGATGGTCATCCCTCTGCTCACTTTGCTCTCCTCTCCTATCAGCATGTTTATTGCCAGCATTTTTGTATGCATTACAACTGATTACCTCTCACAGTCTGCTGTATAGGGGATTGCAAGAAGCTGATATGAACTCAAATTTAGGAGACTTACAATTGTTGAATTTCAACAGTAATTTTGATGTATTAATGAATAACCAGCTCCATTAATTTTTGTGTTTTAGAACTGTCTGAAAATCGGCTTTAACAAAAATAAAGTATAAGAAAGTACAACTGCAGGTTGAATATGAGGGCAATAGTCAACTTTGGCTTCAAGGCATTTTATTGTTTTCTGCTTTTCTTTCAGGACACTCTGAAGGCATTTGATAATTATAAGGCTCTGGTTCTTTCTGCAAACCTGAGCAGTAAAGAGTTCCAGCAAGCAGACGATGCGGAGATTGGAGGTCTTCTGAGTAGACTGCATGAAGTGAACTCCCGCTGGGACCGAGTATGTCATAAGAGAGACAAGTGGAGGGAGAGCTTACAGAATGATCTCAACCAGTGTGAGGTAAGACATTAACGAAGAACTATTGAGACAGACATATATATTTTTGGTATGCTAGCTTGCTGGTGGTGGTGTTTTTTTTTTTTTTTTTTTTTTGTGTTTCTTAAATGTACTTTTTGAAATAGATTAGGGTCCATTCACACTTGAGCAACTTTTCATTCCACTTTGGGCATCAAAGTTGCAGCCCATTCTTTTCAATGGCACCTGTTCTAATCGGTGCAACTTAAAGTTGCAGTGAGTTTGAAAAGGTGCCTGTACACTACGTTGATGCGACTTTTGATTCAGCTTTCATCCAGAGAGCTTAAAGTCCGATTGAAGTCGCATGTCTGATGAAGGGGTCCTGCGAGACTCCAAAACGTTGCCTTGCTGTAACTATGTGATCATCCATTAAAACGTTTGGTGATCCTCGGTGTGCTGGTGGCCTTTTCCCTTGTTGAAGTCGCACTCAGTCGCATCAAACTCGTGCTGGAATTCATGTGGAGTCGCACAAGTGTGAATAGAGTCTTTAGCTGAGAGCTGTGGCTATCTTATGGCTATGGCACGCAGCCTTCAGTACAGAAGCTCACCATAACCAGGACAAGGAGCTTAATGGAAACTGCAGTGGAGTTTTAGGAGCGCTCAACTCTCACCATAGAGCCTGAACTGTGCATCAGCACTTCAGTATGGAGTTCTTGGGAGTGCACAGTACATTGACCACACTGTGCTTCAGACATGAGTTCTATTTTAGATATATAAAAAATGTTGAAGTCATTTCTCAATTTACTTTAACTAAAAGGCTCTCCAGATGACCAAACGTCTCCTACGCCCTGTTAACTATCACCATTACAGAGATCAAGGAGAGAGGTGTAAGCCATACATTTACTGTTCAGTGCAATACAGGATTAGATGATGTCAACTTTTTCATACACTTAGCTAAAATGTCTTTCAGCAAAATGTTCCTCTTATAATGCAGCAGGTTGTCTTTATATCAGACACTTGTAGAAGGTTCTGCTGTTCCTCTTAACTGACCTTATGACACGCTTAGAGGTTCGGAACAATTCTTATTAGAATCATGGGACCAAAAGCCATGACATCAGGGTGATAAATTGAAAACTAACCGGACTCTACAGAAAAACCTTGCTAGTAAAGATTTACTGCCTGCAAACTGTTAATGTCTTATTGCTTGGCAGTCCGGCAAATTGGAATCTGCTGCAGATTTTATTGCCGTAGACATTGTGGGATTTATATTTGGGATGATCAACTTCGCACCAAAAAAAAAAAAGAACTGAATACAGTTGTGAGTCTGCCCTTCAAATTTATTGGATCAGGACATTATTAGACTGATGTTTCCCTATATTCCCTAGAACTAGCGGCTATTTGATTTTTGTTTTTTTATTGCACTTTTTATAAATGATGGCGTTGTCCTAGACACGATGGTATTACTCCCATTAAACCATCCATCCAACACTGAAATAAACTTAGAGATGTATACACGATAAGTAGTTAAATTTTTAATTTAGATATTTCTTTAGTGCACCCCACTCCCTTTTGTCTGTAGTTGGACCCTGGAACGTACTTACTGGTGATGCTGGAACACTCTCCGTACTTTCTATTACACAAAGAGCCTGATATAAAAAAAAGCACAAAGAAGTATCTCACAACCTCCAAATTCAAACCTGCCTTGGAGGTCTGAATGTGATTTGTGATGCAGGGAGTAGAGGGAAGGGACGCTTAACAACATGGGCTTCAGGAAGTTCTCCTAATGAACCCATATAGGTGTGTGAGCTTATTCTGCAGGGATACTACAAAAACAGTATGTGGTAAATTGTTTCAGCACTGTCGTGGATTTACTAGAAAGGGATTAGTAGCTCACAAAGTACTATCATGTACTGCTGATTAAAGGAGAACTTTACCAATAACAACTTGATAAAAAAATAAATGTTTTTTTAGCAAGGAATATACATTTCACATTAATAATTATGCTATAAAAATGTGTATGTGCTGTAAATTGCCCCCAGCATTGTTCCTGTTTTGTCTTGTTGGAGATTACCATTTTGCTGAAGCTCTGAACCCCGGAGCAGCAATAAATCTTTAGGCTGTCAGTAGGTTGGCCTCTACATTATTGCACAGTGCTGAAAAATAGAGAGCAACTGAGCATGTGCAGAGCAGGGAGAGACCGTGTGTTTCTGGATTATAAACCATATAGGCACTTATTCTTAATGTTTTACATTGCAAAAGGGGCCAGCATGAGATCATCTAGCAGGACTTAATTTTTTGACGCAAGTTCCAACAGATTTAATACTTATACACTTCATTTTATGCATATCATTGTGAAAAGGTAGGTGTACATTTAGATAACTGTTCACAAACAGCCAGCCAAAACCCGTAAATTTAGCCTACATGAACACTTTGGAAGCTGGAAGTATGTAGGCTTACAGCAAGTTTTCCCACCGTGCATGCCTGGCCTGCCTGGTGACCCTTGTTGAATACCAAGCCCCACAAACCAGTGTGCCGGGTTACAAATCGTGATGCAATCAACTGATCATGATGCACTTGGCAAATCCACTTTCAAACAGGAATGATCATTAAAGCCCCACTCCAGCCCAAAAGGTATATTTTTTCTGTGGGGAAGTGGTTAGAACCTCTGAATTTTTGGTCTGTCCCCATTTGGGAGATTTCCTCTCACTTACTGTTTCTTTTGACTGATGGAAATCTGCCCACTAGGTATACAGGCAGCAAAGAAAAAAACAATGTTTCCCATTTAAAAGTGGAAGGTTTAGAACCTCTGCTAGGATTGTACTGCTCTGAAGAAGGAAGGATGGGGGATAAATGCACCACCTCACTAACTATGTCCAGAAGATATTTTTATTGAGGTTTGATAAATACACCAAGCATTTTGGTGGCACAGAGTCTACTTTCGTCAGGGCTTCAAACATCGGTAAACTATTGTGAATAATATGCAGTTTTCATTTCTGCATTTGTCCGCCACCCTTCTTCCTTCCAATTAATTTGGACCGTCTTGAAGGCTTTCTTAGGTTTAGAGCACTGCCTGCAAATGTACACAGACTTTCAAAACCTTTACCATTAGTATAAGCTGTCCAAGGGTTGTATTGCTATCCTTCTCCAGATGAGGGAGGTTTCGTCCCGTCTGATTAATGGATGCCACAAAGGAGAGAGACAGAAGAACGGAAATCTTCTTTATGGGGATTCAAGACTGCATTTAAAACCTGACAGATTCTAACCCTGCTCCATTCTAGCCAAAACAAAAGAAAAAGTTCTTTCTGGAGTTGGGCTTAAAGCACTGTAGATTCCTAAAAAATATATATTTATATATAGAACCTTCCTTTTTTTTTTTATAATAGAACCTTTTTTTTTATATTAGAACTCCGATGCATACCTAGCATTAGAGATTTACAGGAAAGTGGTTACCACCACAAGGTTGCCTCCTCTTTTACATACCAACCCTTTTAAAGAGCTCTGTACTTGTGGATACTTATCCAATTTCAATGTGAACTTTCCCTCTAAGCCTCTGTCCTTTCTTCCTTATTCCCCAATTTCTCTGAGCTGCACAGGCAATTCAGTACCTTTTGGGTCTAAAATACAGTATGTGCAAACCTCAATCTTCTTCTCAAACTGAACTTTATACCACTTTTGCCCTCCCTGAAGGCTGATCTGGAGAAGTGGCAATAGTTGGCCCTCTTTTTGGTAGGTTTGGTAGGTTCAGTGTTCTTAAAGCAAACATAATGCCTTGCCCTCCTATGTATGTTGCAAACATTACCTATAAGGATCCCTCAGACCTTCTTTAGGTCTGTCCAGCAGGCTGAGTTTGTCAAATTTATGTGGCAGGGTAAAGCACCTCATATCAGCAGATCTATCTTTTACATACATCTAAACCTAGCAGAGGGATGGATTTTTTCACATCCTGCCCTGTACTATAGGGCAGTGCATATAACGAGTAGTGAATTGATGCAGACCCGAATCCAGGGGCATATTTACCGCAAGGCAATCAAGGCAGCATTGCCCTGGAAGAAGGGACACGCGGCATGGAGACCAGGGTTCTAGGAGAGGCTGCGGGCTGCTTGACTATGTATGCAGAGCCCAAGTCTTGTTCCTGGGGATGTCTGGAGCTGTGAAGGTAAGTTTCTTTCTCTCTCCTGCAGGGTGGGGGAGGGGGTTCTGTGGCTCCCAAAGGTTCTGCACCTACAATCGATCATCTGGTGTTTTTTTTCCACCTCTCCTCTGGCTGAATCAACATGTGAAAATAAAAATAAAAGAGCCTTCTGGAACATTGTCACACATCATTGGTTCTGACATCAGAGCAGATGATGTTTTACAATGTTCCAGAACGAGCATTTATCTTTATTTTCACCTGTTCCTCCAGCCAGAGCAGAGGAGGAAGAAGTGTCAAGAGCTCAAGGGGAAAACACCAGATGACCGATTTGAAGGTGCAGAGTCTTTGGGATCCATAGAGTTTTGGTTGTACATCAGGCGCCTATTAGACCTCTTATGATGTGGAGGTCTACGGAGGGGTGAGCGCGTAGGCTTGTCTGTCTTCACCACGTGGTGCGTTGAAGAGGGATTAACTTTCTGGCTTTATCAATATCACTGAACACTGGATTTCTGGTTCTTTTCAGCAACTACTGGGAAAGACTGTTGCACCTTTGTTGTAGATAGTGTGTGTTATTACACACCAAGTAGAAAGGTTTATAAGTGAATTGCTTGGATAGTCTCACCTTTTTAATGCTGCACATTTTTTGTGGGGATGATTTCTTATATATGCACATGTTTTAACATATGAGAATTGTAATTTTCTTGCAACGCATGTTGGGTCATAGTATGTTGCCTTAGGATTAAGTAGTCTCACTTGTAGTGCTGCATATTTGTTTTTGTTGTTAAGGAGTTTGTCAGTTAACCTTTGTGGCCATCTGCTTGGATATATATATATATTAGACCTAGGTTTCCTTTATCGCTGCTCAGTAACACTTTTTGATTTTATCTGTCCAAAAAACGTTAACCTTAAATCACTGTTTAATGCCCTGGCCGTAGGCATATATGTGGCTGCTGGGCAGGAGGTCCTTAACTCCGAGCAGCCGCATATATGTAGCCGTGTATAAATCATTTACCGTGTAAGAGCACGTACTCCCAGCACGGTAGCCGGCAGTGATTGGAAAGCTCCCAATGACAACTAATCACAGTGGTCACATGACCTGAATGCTCCCCCCCCCCCCCCCCCCCGGCATCCGAAAGCTGTTAAGGGGCTAGGAGGCGTCCGCATAGAAGGGCTAACACTCTTCTAAATTCTGCTAGAGCTTCTGTTTCTTAAGTGCTGACATATGCAGTACCCACCTACATTACACCATGGTTTAAGCAGAAACAACACCTCCTGCGCTCAGGGACCCAGATCAGAAGTAGGTGGATAGATCAACCTCTATGGAAGTTCGTTCACCAAAGGATCAAAGATTGTGCAGCTCTTAATGCTGGGGAAGCCCGACCAATACTGCAAATGAGAACAAGAAGCACACCAACCTTGCGCATTACCTCAGTAAAAAGATGTGATTTTATTAAAGTAAGATGTATACTCACAAACGTAGCAATATAAAACGTTCAGATGAAGAGGGGATCTCCCTTCTAAACGTGTCAACCTTACTCTGAGAGTCTCCCTTTTCTGTGGAATTTGCACGTGTCTCGTACTCCAGTGTTCCAATCTTGGACTTTATATGCATTTTATATTGCTATGTTTGTGAGTATACATCTTATTTTAATAAAATCACATTTTTTTACTGAGGTAATGCACAAGGTTGATGCACTTTCTTTTGTTCTCATTTACACAATGGTTTTCCAGGGTGAATGACATACAAATGCATGGAGCAGCTTGCTTTTGCCAACAAATTAAATCTGAGGAACATGGGGCTAGATCAGGGGTGGGCAAACTTTTTGACTTGAGGGCCGCAATGGGTTCATATATTGGACCCGGGGGCCGGACCAAGAGTAGATGAATGATGTGTATGTGTCATCCATAGTTAGTATAGTAATATTCCCCCATAGTAAGCATAGTAATTCATCCCCCATATAGTAATTCATCCCCCATAGTAATTCATCCCCCCTATAGTAATTCATCCCCCATATAGTAATTCATCCCCCCTATAGTAATTCATCCCCCCTATAGTAATTCATCCCCCCTATAGTAATTCATCCCCCCTATAGTAATTCATTCCCCCTATAGTAATTCATCCCCCCTATAGTAATTCATTCCCCATATAGTAATTTATTCCCCATATTAATTCATCCCCCATATTAAGTCCCCAAGTCCACCCTGTGTCAATTCACTTACCTTTGCTCCGCGCGTTCCTCTCGCCTTGTTCCCGCGCCGTTCTGGTGTAGCATGAAAATCTGTCTCCTATGAGGATCTGTCCCCCTCGACGTTTCTGCGCATGTGCCAGTTTCAGACATTAGCAGCCGATCGGCGATCTCCGGCACATGCGCAGATACGTCGAGGGGGACAGATCCTCATAGGAGACAGATTTTCATGCTACACCGGTCTTCAGTGCGGACTGTGTGAGGAGCCTAGCTCCGCGGGCCAGATTAAAAGGTCCGCCGGGCCGTATACGGCCCGCGGGTCGTAGTTTGCCCATTGCTGGGCTAGATGGTTCTATTGGGGTCTATTTCAGTTTGCTGATGAATTCCTACAATACAGAATAGCTTTCTTTCACATTACACCTTTCTCCATCAGGAGATGCCTCTTCAGCCACCTTCTCTGGCCCTTACTCTTTCCCTTTCTTATTATTTTTTTTCTTACCCTTCTATTATTTTCTCCCACTTGCTCCTACAAAACTCTTGAAAAATCTGGTGAAAATCAGACTCGCATTCGTGACTGACGGATCACCCTTTCCATAGGCTCTTAAATTGACAAATCCTGATGTAAGCCTATAAATAGATAAATGAATAAAAACCTTCAACTTGGTTAAATGCTAAGCATTAGCATATGTGTAATCTTGTACCTTTTTTTTTTTTTTAGCTTTTGTTTATCCTATTATGTTACTGTATATTCAGCATCTTACATTTTATGCTGTGAATTGTATAGATACAGCTGAGAATAGTCTAGTGTTCCAAAGTTGGTATGGTGAACTTGTTCCTCCATGGACACATTTTAGTTTCCATCAATTGCACATGTTCTGTTATCTTGAATAAGAGTCCATCTTAAAGCATAACTTGGCATACATGCTTTGCCTTGGTTCTTGGAAGGCTGGAGCAGTTGGCACCTGAGCTTTGCCGCATCCAGTGTCTGTTGTGGTAAAACACATCCTGTTAGAATGACCAGAGAGCTTTGCTTGGCTGCCTTGAAATGCTTTTTTTTGCAGTCTGGTAATTGTTTTTATTTTGATTACTTTTTTTTTTCCAGGAATTCCATGAGACAAGCCACCAACTATTACTGTGGTTGACTGAGGCAGAATCTTGTAGATTGAAATACCGGGTGGCAGATCATAAGGGAGACCCACATGCACTGGTGGAGTGCCAAAGGCAACTAATGGTCAGTCTCCTGTTGTAACGATTCAGTTTTGGTATAGGCATCACATGGTCTTCAAACTTTTTGACCTGGAACAACTATGCTAAGGAGAAATATATAAAACCATCCTTGCAAAGAAAGTTGTACAAATAAGATTCCTGTCCCCCTGCCTCTTCTGTGTTGACGATCCAAGCTTGTCTAACTATGTGTCGGATTTTGGTATCCACCTGCCCCCCCCCCCCCCTCGCCCGTGTCCCTGTAAGACATAGCAGTGACAGAGGCTGGAGGAAAATCACGCAGAGGGGGACCAGACATCTGACACACCAGGAAGTGTCCTAGATTAGATCTTCCATGCAATGGAGTACTGCACCGCAGGTAGTGGGACAGGTGGTATTAGCTTTCTTGGCATGGTTGTATTTAGCTTTTCTAAAATACCAACATAGGCACTTTAAGTGGTTACTGAATGTTTGTTTTTTTGTTTTGTTTTTTTATTTGGTGTAAACAGGTTTTTGAGTGCTATGGAAAACATTTTTTAATAGTTATTTTATTGCTTCTCATTTTAACTAGCAACTGAAAGAGCAGCTGCTGGAGAGACAAATCCAAGTCAATTCCCTTCAGGACATGTCCAGTTGCTTGCTGGAGAGTAATGCTGGAGGAGGCTATGTGGAGGCCGATGAGAGGACGCATGTCATTGCAACCAAGATGAAGCAACTTCTAAAAGCAGTTTCACGGGACTTAAAAACAGCACAGCGAGCTCTGGTGAGTAATGAGCAGCCAGGAGAAGAAAAAAATCCTTTTACCTTCTCTCTATATTTAGCACAGCTCTTCTGAGGATGAATATATATATATATATATCTATATATATATATATATCTATATATATAATTTTTTTTTTTTTTTTTTTTTTAACCAAAGCTTACCTGTGGTACTCTTGCTGGGCACATACTTGTTGATGTAGTTCAATAACTCTTGCTGTGTTCTTTGCATCGGCTGGACTTCTGCAACCTCCCTTAAAATTAAATAATGTGCTACTGATGGGCATCAAAATCAATACACTACGTTTGGCACACCGGAGACTATTGCTGTCAGCAGAACCAGATGCAGGTTATGATCTTTCCAAAAAGATCATGGCAAGGATACTGATCAGCAGAGACTGTTCCATATATCATACTTATTGGCTTCTTCAAAGTTAAAGATTACTTACAGCTAAATAAACTCTGCCACTTTCTTGATTTGGGACATTGAGCGAGGTTCTCGTAAAAACATCCCACACCCAGTAATATTTCTCTTCTCTGTGCTCCCCTGTCAATTTGTCTCTCTTTTAGAGACTGGAGTCTATAAGCTCTGAGTTGGAGGTTACAGAGGGTTAACTTATTCCTCCCTTTGTTCATGTGACACTGTTCTGATCTGGCAATTGGGACACTTACTTGAGCACTCCGCTCTGGGGAAAGGGAGGCGGTCAAATGCTCCTCCATACAGGGTGAGAGCAGGGTATTTATCAGGGGCTCCAACAGATCTTCAATGCTGTGGGAGAGTTCAACAAAGGTATCAGTCTATGAGTTGATCTTACAAAAGAACCGACCACTTTGTCCTAAACGAGCAAGGTGACAGATTCTCTTTCAGAATGTTTTTCTGATATCTTATGTTCAAAATAACATTTTTGGAAAGTTTTTTTTTTTTTTTTTTTTTTTTTGTGTAATTCAGTCTCATTTTAAATTACATCAGATAAATATTCTATATTTACATTTTTGCAGGAGACTGTGTTTATATCTGAGTTTCAGACAATTGGTTTACTGCTGTGCTGAGAATACTTGAATAGCAAGGGTAGTAGCGGGTCAGAGTTTCTTCAAATCGGCAACTAAGATACATGAATGCTGAGACGCTAATATGTGCGTTTTTATAGCCATGTCCCTCACTGCATTTTATAGCAGATGAGATGCACTTCAATCTGATTTCCACAATGATGTATCCACACCTGACTACAAACTTCTGCTTAATGTAGTTTTGCTATAATTATCCCAGTGCTATTGTATTGATGTGCATTTTACTGTAAATAGTCTGTTTATTATCCCCTCCACTGCCATTACAGGATGATTGTACATCTGATGATGTCGACTCTGTGACAGCTGCAGATAGCCAGGTAAGATTGGTACATATAGAAAACTATAAATTAACCACTTGCCCTTTATAAGATTTACCCCGCTTAATGACCAGACCATTTTTTGCTATGCTGCACTGCATTACTTTAACTGACAATTGAGCGGGCATGCGACACTGTACCCAAATTAAATTTGTCATTTGTTTTCAACACAAATAGAGCTTTCTTTTGGTGGTATTTGATCACCTCTGGGTTTTTCATTATATAAACGAAAAAAGACCCAAAATTTTGGAAATACAGTATTTTTTTTCTTTTTACTATCAAACATATCCAATACAAAAAAAAAATTTCATAAATTTAGGTTAAAATGTATTTTGCAACATGTCTGGTAAAAAGAAAAAAAAAATCCCAATAAGTGTAAATCGTTTTGCGTGAAAGTTAGAGCATCTACAAATGTCGGTGTGTGTATATAAACGGGAATTTTTATTTATTTTTCTACTAGTAGTGGTGACGATCAGCAACCTATAGCAGGACTGTGATAGAGCGGCGGGCACTGACACTGAGTGGGAACTAACTAACAGCTACTGACATCACCAGTGACATTAATAAAGTGATCACTGCTCATATGACACTGGGTAGAAAGGGGTTAACATCTGGGGTGATCAAAGGGTCAGCTGTGTGCCTTGGAAGTGTTTTATGTCTGTGCTGATTTTACAAAGGGATCTTGTGTTTTTTCCTGCTTATCAGGGAATTAAACAATGTAGCCTGTGTCCTGTGCAGAGCTTTGTGAATCACTGAGCTGATCAGCGGGTCCTGGCAGCCAATCACTGGCCGGGACCAGCTGATCGGCTTGTGCTCTCACTAATCATGCCACAGCCGGTCGACAGGTGCACATGCCACCCTACGTTGAAGAGTTGGGTCACGTACTGGGGGCACGGAGTGTTGTGCATTTTTTCAGCATGTTTGTTGCATGGCAAACGCATCTCCACTAATTAGGAATGAATGGCACCCTAAGGCCTGTTTTACATGGGCTTCAGCTTGTATATGAGCAGTGTGAACAACAAGCTTTGATAAAGCTTTTGCAGAGCTTTCAGCAAGCTTTGTTGTTTAAAGTATCATTGCGCTCCAGTTTAGATATGTTGAACACAGATCCTAAATTTAATGCTGAATTTCACTTTAAGCACTTCTTGTTGAAATCCTGCTGAAGCCTGCTAGCAGCTTGCTTAAAGTGGCAATTAACACTCCAATTGGGATCTGCGTTCAACATTTACAACCTGGAGCTGAATGATACTTTAAGCACTTGCCCTCTGGAAGATTTACCCCCCCCTTCATGACAAGGCCATTTTTTGCTATATGGGACTGCGCTACCTTTAACTGGCATCATCATCACTGGCATATCATTTTTTCACACAAATAGAGCTTTCTTTTGGTAGTATTTGATCACCACTGGGTTTTTCCATTTTCTGCACTAAACATTTCTTTAAAATTTTCAATCTATCTAAATTTATTTATTTTTGGCTATAAAACATATCCCATAAGAAAAAAAAACAAATACAATTTCTTCATAAATTTTGGCCAATATCTATTATGCTACATGTCTTTGGTTTAAAAAAAAAAAAAAAAAAAAAGAAAAAGTAAAAAAAAAAAAGTGTATATTGGTTTGCATGAAAATTATAGCATCTACAAATGACTGTATATATACTGGAATCGTTTTGTTTTTTTTCCCCCCTTATACTAGTAATGGTGGTGATCAGTGATTTATAGCAGGACTGTGATAGTATGGTGGGCATTCTGACACTGACATGACCAGTGACACGAACACAGTGATCAGTGCTAATAAAATGCACTGACACTGTACTAATGACACTGGGCAGGAAGGGGTTAACTTTGTGTCTAACCATATGTATTGTGTTGACTGTGTGCTGTTTTACTAGGGGATGTGACAGTTTTTGTCTCCCTGCTTTGCATCGTCGCTCGCTCTGACCAGCACTTCCTGGCCGTGAATCATCAGCCTGGACACTCTGATTGGCATATCAGGGAGCCAATGACAGCGTGGGTAGGTGAGCGCACGCTCCCCCCTTCCCGGAAAAGCAAAATAACGTGTGTATGTACGTGATTTTGCACAACGGTCCTCGCTGCAACAGTAAAGCCACAGTGCGCGGTTTGCAATTGGTTAAACGCTTCAATAAAGCTTGCTGAAAGCTCTGTAAATGCTTTGTCAAAGCTTGCGGTTCACACTGTTCTTATACAAAGTGAAGCTCCTGTGAAACAGGCCACAAGTTTAGTGCGATGCAGAAGTGTGTGATTCTGCATCGCTCAGATGTGAATGGGGACCTAAGTCAGCTCTTCTTTAACTATGAATTGCTGTAATGCAGTCTGTGAATGAATTCTAGGATTACATAACACAACAGCACTTCCAAGTGGGAGATATGCTTTTTTTTCTCCTGTGTAATTTGTTATACTGCTCATCTTATGGTATACTGATTGCTTACATTGTAACAATTTTAGAACATTTGACAGAGGAGATAAAAACCCCAATCAGTAAATTATATAATCCATAAAATGTTAGTCATTTTAATTTTTTTAAATCTACAGCTTTCATTAGGTAGATCTAAAGCCAGTCAGTAATATTTCTCATACGTTTCAACATATTAATGTTATGCGAAGTACTTTTCAAGCTTTTCCAGTGCAGATTTGAAAGAGAGGTATGGCCAAAGCTTTTTTAGCCATACTTCTCTTGTGGATCATAGGAGTACACGAACGTTTGCTCCCCTGTGACCCAAAATCGGCTGACAGTGGGCTAAAGCCAAGCTGTCAGCTGATGTCACAGAACCCCCTCCATGCTGTGGAAGGATCTTGATCATATTGTCGAGATCCACCTGGATACCTGATTGACAGCTGGTTCAGCCTCTCAGCACATGGCTGAGAGCTGGAACCAGCTTCACCTGCCCCTTCCCCAGCTCAGCACACCAGTGAGCACTGGAGGGACAGAGCAAAGAATGGTAGCACAGAGCTGACAGAGAACTGAGTGATCAGTGGTCATGTGATCCTTTAGCTCTCAGACTTAGAGCTAGCGGGGGGACAGTTACAGCAGTCAGACTGATGCTGCAGCACAAAGGTGAGTATATATGTGTTTTTTTTTTGTTTTTTTTTAGTCCATTCTTAATTAAGAGAATACCCACTGCTCTTGCAGTGATGGTCCTTGTTTTACACACCTCCTGTTATAGGGTGACAACTGTCACCCTACCCTATACACTCCCAGTAGAGGCTACAAGCTGTCATGCCAACATACCATGTGCACAGGTGCACCTATCTGAAAGCTGGTCAAGTGCTATGATGTGCAGGTGATGCTGCAGTGTATGTAGACAGGAAGTGGTTGAAATCAGCAGTAAGGAGATGGGGGGCAAAGTTAGAAAAAAAAGTGATAAAAGGATTTAAAAGAAATTGTTGTGTTTTTCCGTGGGAGAGGCACACCCTAGGACAGCAGTAGGGCTCCAGAGAGGTTTTTACCCATCTCTACCCTATCCATACAGAAGAAAAAAAAATGTTGCGCAGAGTGATGACTGTTTTCAGAAAAATCAAATGCATGGCACAAAAATCTGCTGCAAATGTAAACCCATTTAAAGCAACCATGTCAAATGGGAAAACAATATATATTAAATCTAAGTCCCTGCAATAAAAGTGTTATACTCGTCTCTCCTCCATCCCAGAACTGTCTGCCTTCAGCATTTGACACTTCCAGGACTGTCAGTGCCTGTGTTTCCATAGTGACTTAGGTGTCAGACGATGGAACCGCAGCATGTGACAGGGGACACGGGCATCTGACACTCCCGGAATTATCAAAATAAGCTGCAGCATTGGAATAGAAGGAAAGTAGGAGACACTGACCTCCGGTCATTTATTAAATTTTGCAGCAAACGTAATTTGCTTTATTTTTTTTTTTCTTTCTCTTTTTCCAGGCTACAGTCGGAGCACTTCAAGATACTAGGTATGTCTATTTACGTTTCCCAAAATTAACAGTGTGTTTTTTACTTTTCCTGGAGTTGGGCTTTAAGTTTCAGTCAGATGGTGACAAATTTCAAACTCTTGCCTTGAAGTGGGGCTGCTGTCACACTGCAAGGGTCAAATGCGCTTTTGGGTCTAGGGGATGGAAAAATTAGTTTTACTTACAAGATCCACTGTTCCCCCAGAAGATGGTGCTCCCGTATGCCCCAGCAATGGACTATTCCTCTATATTTTCGCATCCAATGCAGAGCTGTGGGTTTTTTTTTTTTTTCAAGATTTCCCATGCTAGGAGAACCACAGGTGGTACCTACAGCCTGCCATTCAAGTAAATAGCTTATGTGCCTATATTCTTGTAGAAGCAGAAGCTCCTGTGAATTGCCACTTGCAAGTGCAGTGGTGTTATAATTGTTAGAAAGGCATGTTTGGGAAATACACTGTTCATGTATGTGTGGGAAAGTGCTGGGGAATTTTACGTTGGAGGACTTTGGAGCTAATAAACATCCGTGTGCTTGAGGCCTAAATAGAGACTGTGAAAACTTACAGTTCCCAGTGTCTGCACTACCAACCATTGCTCTGCTCAAGGTCCTTGTCCCTGGTGCAAATCGGCACTCACTGGTTCCCCCTGCTGATCTCCACACCTTTACTGTTATACAATGATTAGGAACCAATGAGAGCTGCTGGGGACCAAGAAGACTGATGCATTTGAAAGCATGGGATTCTAAGTGGACTTTGTAGAATGAGTATGATATTTGACATGTTGGCACATAGATGGTACTTACAGTCATACCAGAGGTTGACTAGTTATTTTTCACTACAGGGTCACTATAAAGGGTGCTTGTGTGCGTATAGTAATACGGAATCATGTTAACATGGCTTTAAAAGATGCAAGCACTTCAGGACTAGTCCTGATCCTGGGTTCACCAACTCTGTCATTCTTTGCATGTTTGCTCCAGGTTAACAGAGTTTCTGAACATCTGTGCCCATATATTTCCAGGTTGGTGACTAAATAGAAATGCTTGGATGGCGCTGTGGAGGCTGCATCTTAAATGTGAAGTCTTCAGTACTGCACTTCATCCATTTGTCTTCACAGATTCACTATAATCCTACCCAAATAATGCATACATGCAATGAGTATAGAAAAGAATTGCCCCCTTTAAAATGATCAAATTTTGTTGCTTTGCAGCCTGAAATGGAGACACACTGTTTTTGTTTTATCCAGCTGTATTTACTCAGTGCAACTTCTAACATCCAAATGAAACATATAACACCAACATGTCAGAAAAAAATAAAATTCAAAAACAGAATAGCGGAGTTGGAAAAAGGATCACCCCCTTGTGTCAGTATTTTGTTGAATCACCTTTTTCTTTAATTCTAGCCTTTAGTCTGTTGGGATCTGTCTCTTCTAACTTTCCACTTCTAGACTTTGCAATATTTGCCCACTCTACTCAGAACTGGTCACGTTCAGTTCGATTTGATGGTGACCATTTGTGGACTGCAGTTTTCAGGTCATTCCACATATTGTCAATGGGATTTACGTCTGGGCTCTCCTTCAACCACTGTGTGGTCATTTTTGCTGTGCGCTTTGGGTCAGTGTCATGTTGGAAGGTAAACCTTCTTCCCATTGACAACTTTCTGGCAGAAGGAAGCATATTTTCCTCAAGAATTTGATGGTATTCTCCCCATCCATTTTCCTTGTATTCTTACAAGTGCTCCAGTCCCTGCTGCAGAGAACAACACCACCCCCCCCTCCCTGTAACAGGATCTTACCACCTCCACGAGCTGTATTGGATTTCCGCCAAACAAATAGTTTAGTTTTAAGGCCAAATAATTCTATTTTAGTCTCATCTGACCAGAACACCTTTTTCAATGTGGCCTCAGAATCATCAAGGTGCGTTCTGGCAAAGCTCAGTTGTGACTGCACGTGGCCCTTCTTGAGGAGTGGCTTTTCTCTTGCAACCCTCCCATACAAGCCACATATGTGGAGAATTTGTGATATTGTAACATGCACACAATGACCACTCTGTGTCATAAATTCCTGCAACTCCTTCAGAGTTGCTGTAGGCCTCTTGGTAGTCTCTCTGACCAGTTTCCTCCTGGTTCTTTCATTCAGTTTAGAGCAATGTCCTGATCCAGGGAGGGTCTGTGTTGTATGAAATACGTTCCATAATAATAGACTTCACTGTGCATTGATAAAGTCTTTGCAATTGTTTTGTATCCATCTGCTGACTTGTGCCTGTCCACAACTGGTGTTATATCTTTCACTTGACTGTTTTTAAGTTGCACTGAGTAAATACACCTAGATAAAACAAAATTTGTCTTCATTTCAGGCTGCAAAACAACAAAATATGATTTTTTTTTAAAGAAGGTGATTCTTTTCTATACCCACCGTATGAACCAGTTTTGTCTTGGTCTATAGCCCAGTTTTCAATAATATTTATTGAATTTTCTGTTCTGAAAAAAAAAATTACAAAACCAATAAAGATGCCTTAGAAACTGCCCACAAGCAAGAGGAAAATATTATTCAATAGACAATAACATTTTCAGAGAGCTATTACTCCTATGTCTAGAATCATACTAAAGTTAACTCAAATATTATGTTGTAAAGATTGGTTGGCTATAGGCTATTTTTCGATAGGAGAAGGAAAAGCTAAAAACCTTATTTCTTTCTGTGTCCATACTTTTGGTAATTTATTCTTTGTCCTTGTGGTCAGTGATGGGAAGTCCACAATTTTACAGTTATAAATTGACAACCACTGCTGTAATTTTGAGATGACGGGAGCTTCAAATGTGGCCCTTGACATCAAAGAATGTACATAATGTTCAATAAATGTAATGCTTGAGAGGACTGTCAGAAACTGCATACCTAATAGATGAAATGAGGATCAGAGAGTGTGGACATACTAAATTTTTGGATGGGGATATGCTGCAGAAGACTATATGAAACTAGGAATACATTATAGGGGGTCAGTAGAGATCAGTGCTATTACCAGAATCCATGTTCCCACTTCAGACTGCTGAGGGCCGTGCATCATATACTAAAGGGTTGTAGGTTGGACACTGGGGAAATTACTGCACTGAAACAGGAGGTGAGGGGAAATCTCCCATTGGGGCAGCACCACATCCTTATGTGTGTCCAAACATAAAGTAAATGACCGTATCCCCAGTGGGAACAGACCACACCTATACACTCTGATAGGGGTTAACCTTTCCTGGCTTTATTCAATTGCTAAAAATATTTACTAAAAGTATATGAAGTGTGCAAGTTGGGTAGGGTCTAACATTAAACTTCCAAAACGATCTAAACACTTCTTGCAACTAATCGAAAAAATTGCCATATTTACTTCTCTTATCTGTAAGCCCATTACCTGCTAGTAAATGCAATGTCATTTAATGTTAAAGACCTCAGAATATCCTTTTAACATTTACATTTATTTATCCTTACAGAAAACAGGAGCCCACTGCCACAGTCCAGGAAACCTCTAAGAAGCGACCATTCTTCTACCGTGTGTTACGTGCTGCTCTTCCTCTTCAGCTTCTACTTCTCCTTCTTCTCCTCCTCGCCTGCATGATTCCCTTCTCAGAGGAGGATTACAGCTGTGCTCAAGCTAATAACTTTGCCCGCTCCTTTTACCCAATGCTGAGGTATACCAATGGACCCCCACCAACCTAAATGGGGTACATATGCACTTCAAATGACATTCCAATGTGGTATGTGCAGTCTCCAGTGTGACACACCAGACCAGCAGATTATGTGATCTAATTAGTGCAGTTGTTACACCATCGTTGATTTGTGTTGTTTTTTTGTACAAAACTGCAGCGTTGCTTTCATCTGGGGGTACTAAGGCTACTTCAGGAAATGGTACACGGGGCAAAGATTTGCATGCACATAGTAACTTTATATCTCAGTGTAACTGGTGACGGTTCATAAGGATATAGCCATTTTGATTACTTTTTTAGATAACCCAATAACAGTTTATTTAATTGTAATGTGAAGAACAGCGGTGTACAATGACGCAATCAATTCAGATTGCACACTGTTCTTTTGATTTTATTAAATAAGCCTATTGGTGTTTTTTTCCTTTTCAGTGTTTGTGATTATGAACTTTTATTTCATGACTGTGGCTTTTATCCACCATTTTATTATTTTACCGTTTTTTATTTATGTAAGATTTTAAATGGTAATTACTATGTAAATTTAGCACAGTTCTCAGAATCAACTCATCTATATTCCTATGTTGTACAGAGCAATTTGGTTTTATACTGACGATTTCTGGCTTATTTTCAGTGTTGTACAGCTATATTTGAGGGGTTTTATTGTTCACTTTGTAAACCATTATGCAAATTACAAAACATTGAAAAAAGGGATTTGAAGGTCATTCATGTTTCAAGCTGTATCTTAAAGGGATTCTAATATATTCTGTAAAATAATGTTCCGCAAGCAAAAGAAAATTTTGTTGGACGGGTATTCATTCAATAAACTTCTTATGACCTTTGTAATATTCTTTTTGTCTTTGTTGTGTTTGTGCCATACATAACATGTACAGTATGTATTATTCAGCTATACTTCATCTCATATATAGTCTAGATCCTTGTAATTAAATTGCAGAGGAGGTCTACAGAACATTGATGAAAAACTCCACACTGAGAATACATTCTATAAATAAAAACTCATGCAATCAGATTTCTGTATCATAGCTATGATAACGTCATAGTGCAGCTTTTTAAATGGCCCCCTTTTTAATGTGTGTATGTAAACCTTAATAGTGTTTTTGCTCCCTTACAATCGGTTAAGCTAAACTCCAGGTTAATTGTGACCATAAGGTCCTGTCACTTTGCACATTAAAATATCATTGTTTTTGTTAAACTTCTTAGTCTCCAAGTAAAGTACCTTTGGAAAGTTGGTGTCATTGCTTGTACAGTAATGGCGCAGCTACACCCAGGCACCCAGAGGTGGTATCTAGGAAGAACCTACCTCACTGCCTCTCCCTGTGCAGTGCTGCTTGAAGAAACTACTGTTCCAATCATGCAAAGAGATCTATATCTCATTGTGTTAATTTACCAAACTTGCCAATCTTTTCTGGCAATCCTAAATAAGCATGACAGCTCAAGAGTCTCCTGACGTGTCGGTTATGGTGGGTTGGATAAATTAGGATTCTCCTTGCCTATTAATCAAATTTGATCACATTCGTGAGTGAGATCTGTGTCTAAGATCCCAATTCTTCCACTGCAACCAGCTGTAACATAATTATAGCACCAGTAGCAAATACAGAATGAAAATGGGGTATGTTACAAGAATGGCAATGCAAGGAAGGAGCAGGCAGAATGGTCATTTTTATACATAATTAATGGAATTATTTCTCAATGACTGCAACACTGTTTTTGTCATAAGAAGAAGAAATTAGGTAGTAAATTAAAGTTGATATAAAATGGTAACAGTGTATATTATCTGAAAGCAGAAGATCTATAGATAAAAGATGTTGCAATTATTTTATGTCCATCACTATTTGCACAACTGTAAATATTTTCAGGAAAAAAACAAAATTAATTTTGTTACAAACACCAAATTTTTGGTAAAATAACAAAATGGAGTTGCAGTAAGGAAATGAATACCAAATATGGTAATTCATTAAAAATGCATGCACCGTGATCTTGCACAAAACTACAATATCCAAAAATCATCATGGGTGACACTTTAAAAGCAACTGTGAGCTCTAGTGTTAGATATATTGCTCTCACTCCAACATTCACAGTGGTGTCTCATGTGTAGTGTAATTGCAGCTTACATACCCAGGGCACGTAGGTGTGTGCAGAGCAGTGTTAATTTTAATGCCGTTTATTATAATTTAATTTTTGTGTAACTTTATTGCGATCACACATGGTTAAACCCCCATGTAATATTGGGCAGGTGATAGGTACTCTTTATGGAGACATTGAGGGTCTGGTAGATGGCAACATCTCCCCTGCTCTCCAAAGCATTTAACCAAGCAGAGATCTGCTCTGTTAGACGCTTCCCTGGCTGTATTAGCAAGAGAATAATGGCTTTGAACCAATAAAAGACAACATTGTCTCTTCCAGTTTCCTTTCAGGCACAGGAATGGAAGTTCCTTTCCAACCTGCCCCGCCATTTTGAAGCCCTTTGATGTGGTCCCAGGCTCCCGGTAAGAGCGGAAAAGCCTAGGAACCATGCCACCTGCCCTGTGAAAGTGAGTGGTGGCTATACAGTCGCCATATCACTCACTTTACAGCCATCAGCTTCTTTAACCCTTCACTCTTTGGATATATACATAGTGCATCCAAACAACTGAACAAATTAAATATATAAATGAAAAGGAACTTTATCTCTTAAAAAAAACAAAACACATCATCCTGCTAGAAACCTTGCAAGCTGGTCATTTCCTGTGATTCACATTACTTCCCGCTATCACTGTCACTGCACAGTAGCGTGTTACCACACTAGGACAGGAATTGTGGTTACTAGCACAACCAGGAATTGAATAGCGAAAAAAAAAAATACAACAACCCCATCTAAGGACTGGTAAGCTGCAATCTACCACATTATTATTGTTGGGTTTAGATGCACTTTATTCAATTTCTTACTCACTAAAATTTGAGATTAAAGCGGTATTAAACCCAAAAACAAAAATGTACTAAGTTTCAGTTCACCAATTCTACATAGTTTTTTTTTTTCTTCTTCCATCTGGTGATCCTACTAGTATGTCTGCTTTACCCTTTTTACTGGATAGTGTGATCAGTTAATTAAAAGCAATCAAAAACATATACCGCTGACGGGGTGCTTATAACAGTCAGTGTTTGTTTAAAACCTTTATCCCAAAACGAAATAAACTGTTACTACCTATAAAGTGTTTGCTGAAGTTCTTCAATTTGTAAGTCAAATCCATCTGAATTTGCTAGTTTGGACAAAAGCTTTGTCAGTCTGGGGAGAGGGGTGGTGGCAAAGGGGGCTGCTTTACTACTTGATTCAGAATGCAGACACCCTAGGACAGATGTGTTGCTGGCTGGATTAACATGCAACAGTAGCCTAAAAGAAAAAACTGCAGCCAAGGGAAGCAATCTAAAGATTGGTAAACTGCAATATATTAGGTTTTGGGTTTAATAACTAACTATAGAACAGAGAAAATGGCAGCTTTAGGGCAACAATCTTGCAAAACAGCAACCCGAGACTGCTGGCCGCAAACACAACAGGAGGCAGCAGTTGGAAAGGTTAGGCTGAATGTTTTTTTTTTTTTCTCCTTCCGATAAACACACAGCAGTGGTACCTCATCCCTCCCCCCCATCCTCTGCATAAAAGAGTACCCTATGGGCAGAGAAGGTGCTCAGGTATGTTCTAATTATCATCATGCAAGTGATTGCCACCCTAAGCATCCTGTGCCAGGGAAATAGCTGAAATCTGGTGGCTATTAGCACCAATCCAGCTTCACATTCCCTCAGGGCTGTTTCTTAAATTTAAAGCAATAGTTCAATAACATACATTCACTGCTACAAAAGGTTTTTGTTTTTTTTTTGCAATTTTGTATTTCAATTGGTGTATTAACATTTTTCTCTAAACGTTTACCCCAGTATATAACTGGTATGGTTTCACCTTTTTCTTTTTATACACAAATTTTAAATAATATCTTATCCCCAGAAATATTGACTAATATGCGCAATAGATCTAGGTGTATTCAGGTAGGCACTTTACTACAGCAGTGAATGGGGAGCACTTAAAACCTACACTATTTCCCCACCAGAGTAAAAAATACCCCCACTTCTTTGTATGAGGAAGCATGAGGCACTTTCCCCCTTTGCCTTCATTGCAGTGCTCATTAGCCAGTTGGTTAGTGTGGAGGCCTAGATGCTGTCCCATGGGGCAAAGGGAGAATCTTTAGGGCAAGCACCAACTAGACTTTCTTGGAGCTTACACAGGAAAATTCTCCTTTTTAATATAGAAGGTACACGTTCCTGAAAGAAATATTGGGACTGTCGATTTCCTAAAATTGTAGGTACCAGACTGTTGAGCTTGCACTACAAACTTCAGGACTGTCTGAGGATCCCAGTTCTGAAAGGAGTATGAAGCTCAGGGTAGTCAGTGGCCTTTACTTGCACAATTGTTCTGGATCAATGATTCAAAGCATTTATCACAGGTATTATATAGAGATAGCTGTTATTTTTAAAAACAAGTTATTGGCAGTCCCCGTGTTTCTCCAAGAGGAGGTTCTACAAAGAATTCCTGGCAAAACACATTTGTTACGAAAATAGATCCATACCCAGTCAGTAAATCCCATGGAATACAGCTGAGGTTAATTCGACAAAAGTAGATTGGTCCAAATTTCTCACCTTAACAGCAGTCAAACAGCCCACCCACTGAGCAGACTTCCTAATGAACCAGACAAAATTCACAGTGTATGGCCAGATTACATGTCATGCAGTTAGCTTTTCACTTTGAAATATTTATAGAAGACCAACAGACTTTACATCTACTTTAAAAATTTAGTCTACCGTAAGACATGGATCCAGTCTCAAACCATGCCCCTATGCCCTGCTTTTGTGAGATCTGAACAGCATAGGCATTAGTTACAGTGTCCCTAGCTGTACTTTATACTCCTATTACATTATGAAAGCATGAGACCAGATGTGAACAGATAAGTGTGATGGCACTCAGAATACAAAAAA